GTCAATGAGAATGTGGCACCGGCTTTCATGACTCCCAGGAGGGACACGACTGCCCAGATGGACTTTTCGAAGCATAGTGGTATTCTGGTTCCAACGGAGACCCCCCGGCGCCTCAGTTGCTGGGCTAGCTGTGTTGATAGCGCATCAATCTCCTGGTATGTAAGAGTCCCGTCCCATGATGCAACGGCTACAGCGTGAGGCTGTCGTTGTGAGACTTCCCGAATGATGTCATGCATGCATCTTTGTATCAGGGGAGGAAGCTCCCTATTCCAATTCCATATTTGATCCAAGTCTCGATCACCCAGTCCCTTTTTTTCGTCGCTTACAGGTTCGGGCTTGTCGGGAGCGTTTATATCGGGATTTGCGGCGGCATGTTGCGGTGCTGCAAGCGGAGCTATTCCCGTACTGGCATCACCGGCGATACCCTTTTTTCGTTGTTTCCGACGCTTCGAGAAAGCCGAAAGGCTTGACAAGGCGTCTAATATAAAGGACTTCATTATGGGAAAAGAGACTAGACACACAGAAACCCCGAGTTATTCCAGGGCTGAAGTAGAGCAGTCTCACAAGGCGCAGAGGTTCATACTCCAAAACGGGAACGCTCAACTGGGCTCTTCAAAAGTACGTCAAGAGCTCTTTTTTAGCTATGTATTATGAACCTCTGGCTCAGCACTGCGGACCCATATACTTGGACCTCGTGGAACACATGATTCCTTCCGTCTCTGAGCCTGCCCGCCTGCCCAATGCAGCAACCATTCACGGTACTCAGCTGGATTGCCATTAGTATCTTCCACAACCAGGATAGGATCCACCAGCGAGCGGGAAACGCGTTGAAAGGCGTCCATTGGCATACATACATGTTGTTTCTCGTGAGTTTCCTGGTCTGAGGGGCGCACTGCGAACAGGGGTCGGTCCATGGTGGTGGAAGTGACTTGAGAGTACATGAGCGAGACATGTCCATGACTCGGTGTTTAGGAACCCATTGGATCGCAGAACCCTTTCCCTTTTGGTCCGTGCCGTGAAGCGGAGTACAGTACTCCGTAGTCGAGATGGTGTTCGCTTGGCAGAGACGGTGACGGGCATTTTGGAGTGGAGATGGGAGAATTTCGAGATCAGACAGCCAGCGCTCCCCCACGAGAAGGCGATGAATAACAGGCCATGCGACGGAGGGCGTAGGACGTCAGGTTAGCACATGTGTATGTACACAAGATTAGGTTGCGGCAGGTTGATGCGATGAAACGTGGGCTACAGCTGATATTCTGATGGGCAGCCGAGACACAAACAATCTGCAAACATTTCCTTGCTGTCGGTGACTATGTCCGACAGTGTGATGGCCGAACTCCATTCCTGGTGGAGATGAAGCTAAAAAAACTTTTGTTGAGCCATTCGCATTCTGTCTTGGGATTTGATGTGTGCCCGAATTTCTCGCCGTGAGCTGCTGCTGCTGCCAAGACGGGGCGGGCAGATTGATAAGACGAGTTGGCTGAAGCGGCTGAGGACCAGGAACTTGGAAGTCTGCTTGCGGAGCCTGACCCTGGCCACACACACGCCCATGTGGCTTTTTTTTTTCTTCTCTCTTTTTCTTCTTTCGTGACTGGGCCGGCGGACTTGGAAGAAGACTTGGCACGATGAATCCCAAGTCTGCAGCGCTAGTCTCTGAAGCGGACATCTGGACCGGAGGGGCAGATCGCGTAAAGGCGGCACTGGCGGACGGCACAGGGATTCAATGTCATTCCACGCCCTGTTTTTGCAACGTCAGCGCAAGAGAAACAATTGGAAACAATTGCCGCATACATACATACAATCCAGCCCCTTCACTTATAATAGTAGCTGTCAATTGCGATTGATACGGGAGTAATAGCACTTGAAGTACTCCGTAAATTATATTAATGAGAGATTTCCCCCTTTGATTGCCTGTAGCCCCCCTTGTGAGGTCACGCGTGGCTAAACTTTCAGAGCTGAGAGGATATTGTATTGTGTTGACCAGACTCGATTGACTGACTGGTCAAGTCGGGGAATTTGCTTACCCAAGCTTTGGTGTTGGTGGGCCCGACCTGCGTGTGGTGGGCCTTGCTGGACAGGGCCGCGGACCAGGGTTGGAAACGCCGCGGTTTAGTCTTTAATCCTCACAGCAACCCCCGACATGTTTTTTTGCTTCCTTCTTGTCTTGTTCCTTGGATCCAAAGCAGGGTCTACCTTGCCGCCATCATACAACAGCCGCGGCCAGGGCGGAGAGTCCACAAGCTGATCCTGACGGCGCAGAGCCCAGACACGCCCCCCCTGCCTCGCGCCTTCCCTGAGAGTCTAGAGCGCGCCATCTAATCTGATGATCAGATAAGATGGATTCCTGGCTGACTCTGCGATCCACATCGGCAACCCTCGGAATCTGCCTGCGAGCAAGGGGGACACATTTTCAACCACACGTACTAATCATCGAGTCCGGCTCAACCTTCCTAATTTCAAACGCTTTGCGTGAATGGAGCCGTGGCCCATTTGCCCTCAGGGCTAGGGATGCGACCTGTGGTTTGGCGATGCGGCGAGCCGTCTGAACACTGGGATGCTGGGCCATGTACGATTTTATGACGATGCACAATGAGCCATCCAACCACGGCAGCTCGACAGATGTCGTCAGTCGTTTTTGTGACTTTGGGTGTGGGCCCCCCTTGAACACCATTATGCCTAATATACTGGTTTACCGCTTGTAGCGTCGCATATCCATTGCATCGCGTTGGCCGTGGTAGACCAAGCTCGGTTGCCAAGTATCATTGTAAAGGACCAAAACACACATATACGTACGCAGAAGAAGAAAAAGGAAAAGAAAGAAAAAAGACCACAGCATCGTCACATCAAAATGTCCACACAGCCAGCTGTGGCGGAGCCGCAACCGCAGACTCGGCCTGCTACTCAAAAGCTTTCGGTCCTGCATGGTCCCCTCGAGCCTCCCCTCGTCGACTTGACCCTCGGGGAGCTTCTCCAGCTTCAGACGTACCAGCATGGAACTCAAGAGTGCATCGTCATTCCCTGGACCGGAGCACGATGGACGTACAACGAGTTGAACCAACAGAGTTCCTCCCTCGCACAGGCCCTCTTGGATATGGGAATCGGGGTTGGAGACCGCGTGGGCATCATGGCCGGGAACTGCGAGCAGTACGCCGCCGTCTTCTTCGCCGTGGCCAAAATCGGCGCCATCCTCGTCATCCTGAACAACACGTACACGCCCACCGAGGCCATGTACGGCCTGAAGTTTTCCGACTGCAAGGTATTCTTCACCACCCAGACCATCGGCCGGTTGGACAACCGGAAGCTTCTGGCTGCGCTGGACAACAAAACCGACGCGCCCAAGGTCTTCATCCTGCGAGGCGAAGCAGGAAAATACACCACCTATGACTCCCTCATCAAATCGACCAGTCGCAAGAGTTACGACACGCTGTACCGGGCTATGCAGCGAGTGCTGCCACATCAGGTCGTCAACTTGCAGTTTACAAGTGGCACCACAGGTCTCCCAAAGGCCGCCATGCTCACTCACCAGTAAGTCTTGCAGATTTGTAAAACCACTGAAGGAGAAGCTGATGGTGGCCGGGGGTAGCAATCTGGTCAACAACTCCCGCTTCATTGGCGACAGGATGAGGATAACGGCCGAGGACATCCTATGCTGTCCTCCTCCCATGTTCCACTGCTTTGGCCTTGTCCTGGGCCTTTTGGCCATCGTCACCCACGGCGGCAAGATTGTGTATCCGGCCGAAGTCTTTGACATCCCCTCCACTCTTCAGGCCATCTCTGACGAGGGCTGCACGGCTGTCCACGGCGTGCCGGCCATGTTCGACTCTCTCTTCCAGGCCGAGTTCCCGCCCGGGTTCAACTGCGACAAGCTACGGACCGGAATCATTGCGGGCGCGCCCGTCCCGAAATACCTGATGGAGCTCCTGGTCAACAAGTTTGGCATGACCGAGTTCACCAGCAGCTACGGCCTGACGGAGGCCTCGCCGACCTGCTTCAACGCCTTCACCGACGACGCCCTGAGCACGAGGCTGACCACGGTCGGCACCCTGATGCCGCACGCCCAGGCAAAGATTGTCGACCGCGACGGCAACACCGTGCCCGTGGGCTCACGGGGCGAGCTCTGCATGGCGGGATACCAGCTCCAGGCCGGCTACTGGAATAACTCGGAAAAGACCAGCGAAGCCATGGTCCGGGACGCGGCAGGGCTTCTGTGGCTGCACACGGGCGACGAGGCCGTCTTTGACGAGAATGGATACTGCACGATTACGGGACGGTTCAAGGATATCATCATTCGAGGTGAGCGCCGGAAGAATGCCGACGTTTTGCTTCCCTTCTTTCCTTCTTTTGAACACTGCCACTAACACGGCCGCGGCGCGAACCCAGGCGGAGAGAACATCTACCCTCTTGAAATCGAGGAGCGGCTCATGGCACACCCGTCAGTCTCCCGGGCCATTGTGGTCGGACTCAGGGACAAGCACTATGGCGAAGTTGTCGGCGCCTTTGTCGAGAGGCTCGAAGGCAGCCCCCAGCCGACGGACGCGGAATTGCGCGACTGGGTCCGCAGCACGCTGGGCAAGCACAAGTCCCCGGCGCATGTTTTATGGCTGGGCCAAGATGGGGTTCCTTGCGACGTGCCGCTGACTGGAAGCGGCAAAGTGAGAAAGTTTGAGATGGCGGCGTTGGGGAATGAGATTTTGGCCAAGAGAGGGCAGACGTCAAAGTTGTAGCAAGTCTGGTAGAATAGAGAACAATGTAGAACGATGTTTGTTCATTTAGTTGCTTGGTTTAGAGTAAAACATGGTTCAAGAGACAAAGGGTGTTTTCAGAACAGGACTGCAGAGGGCTGGATGTATTCAGACGTCAAGACAATATACACACACACACATATATTTGCATCACGTTCAGCCCACGTTGCCTCCACTACTGCAAAAAATCAAACCAAAACATATATATATATATGTATAAACACTAGCCAGGTCACAGTCTTGTCTAAACGTCTAGTCCTACAACTTGGGAACCAGTCCGATCCTCATACCACCAACAACCTTGTCATTCTCCCCCAGCGGACACAACTGGAAGAACCGAGTGCGTGGACACCGCACGAAAGCGCTCCGCTTGTGCGGCAAATCGACAAAGTGCTCGATGCCAAAGCCGTGGATGAGGTCGTACATGACGACAGTCGCGTTGGTGTTCTTGGGCTCGCCCACGACATGCATGGTGCGAGGGTCATCGAGGAAGAGGTAATGCATCAGGCTGCTCCACCAGGCAGTCACACGATGAGGGCCGCGGAATCGAACATCGCCCACGAGGGAGTGGCGGCCGCGGTCAAAGTCGCCGGCATCGTAGTAGCCGCCGAGACGGTCCTCCTGTAGAGCATCATCCATGGTGTTAGCGACGCTCACTCATCCACGGCTCTTTTGTATAGGAAGGACAAGAAAGAAACACTCACCTTGGCCCAGTACACTTCGAAATAGGCAAAGTAGGCATCATCCCACTTGGCCAGGACCGCGACCTGATGGGGATCCTCATGGATGTTGCGCAGGTACTCCCTGTGCTGGTCCAAAGTGCCCGTTTCGTTCCAGCCCTGCGAGACACGAGGGTCGTTCTGCCACTCGTGGAACAGTCTCAGGTGTTCCTCGTCTTGGTAGTCCAGCGACACCATGGAGAAGGTCTCCCCGAGGTGCGGAATCCATCGGCTGTACACGACGGCGCCGGGGGCAGGCTTCGCGGGGCGAATGGGATGCCACGACTGCTGGCACCGGTCGGCATCTTGGGGATCGCCGGCGGATGTAATGGTGACGGTGTGCTGGAGAGGAGTAAGGGGATACGATGCCAGCGAGCCGGCTCCGTGGAGAGACGGGGGCGACTCGGCGGGCAGCCACACGGGCCGAGGACCAAAGGGCGAGCCGGCGCCTTGCCAGAAGGTGCTTCGCAGAGCCAGGACAAGGTATTCGTCTGCGTTGGAAGAAGCCGAGGCGCGCTTCTCCCTGGCCGGCGGCGGGTGGTCAACGGCCAGCAGAACGTCGCGCAACTGGGCGCCCAGAGTCGCGGCGTTGGCGCCAACAAGCTCCAGTCGCACCGACTCCATGCCCGGCCGGGCCGTGAACAGGACGTATAGGAGAAGCCATGCCTGCGCGAGGGAGGGCGTCTCGGCGCCGTCCCAGACGACCACGGAGAACGGCGAGCGTCTCGCTCTGGCCCAGGCGCCGTTGTTGGAATCCGCTGGTAGCTCACTGGACTTTAGGTCCGCGGGCTCGGAGAAGTAGAGCTTTGTGTTGTGCAACGGGGCTGGGAGTTTCTGCGTCGACGAGCCGGGACGCTCGCAGAGTTGGTAAAAGGGCACATCTCCGGCTGTTTTGTTTGGCGGCGCGGTTGTCTTCTGGACAGTGTACTCGGTCAAGTACGGGTGAGGGAGCTTGATGAAGGTCTCGTTTGGAGACAGAGCCGAGAGCTGAACTACTGAATTCGCGGCTGCCATTGTGGAGGGAACGCCGGTGATGAAAGGGACTGTCTATACAGATGAATATCTCACGTTCAGCGCCGCGTGCCTACTTGACAACGGACATATAGCAGCTGGGCAGTTTGAAAATACGACAGGAGAGGTCTGGCCCGAGGAGAGGGTGGCAAGCTTCGGTAAAAAAAAACAGCACCAGTCGCATTTTGTCCATTGTCCCATCTGGCGTCGTGAAGAGATCGATCTCCTTCAGCGGCCAAGGCGCGAGGAAGGGTCCTAGACTCCTAGAGCTAACCAGACACTCTCGCGATGTGGGAGAAGCTGCTGAACCTTGTTAGACCCTTGCTGGACCCTGTTGGAGCCCACATTCAGCTCACGAAAGTGCGGGATACAAGACTGACACTTGTAGGTACATGCGAACCCGTTGACGCGTACTCGGAGCCACATATCACTCGCAATGCCGCTGTATCCGTGAGCTAGAACGTTTAGTGACAGACGGACCGTCTTGCTTCTTCACTCAGAAGCTAGTCCCTGCACAGCGTCGAGGTTGTCGAGCAGATGATGAATAATACGATAATGGGAGTGAAGTGACCACGCACTCCCCCCCGGTTCTGGAGCCTCCAAGACGACATCGACCCCTGGTAACCTAGCAGCAGTGCCGGATAGCCAATAACTGCCTCCAACAGGGTGGGCGAGGGGGCTTAGATGTATGTATGTATGTGTCTAGTGCTTAATCTCGCCCCTGTAAATAGACTACAGACATACATAAGTAAGTAAGTAATGTTACAGAAGCGACGCCACCAACTTGTCACGATACCTCGCACCGAGGGGAACAAGGGACGAACATGGGAAGCTGTTCCCCGCCGCAAATCTTGATGGAGTTGACCCTGACTGGGGCCAGGGGTGCAACAAGGGAAGAAAAAATTTGTTGAAGCAGGTAGACCGACCCTTGGCTGGGGCTCGGCTGTCCTTGACAATCCTGGAATGGAGACAAGTCCAGCCGGCGCCCGGACCGCACGGCGAAACCCGGCCTGCACTCGGGGCTCCACACTTTCTGATTGATGTATACTGATTGGTTCAATTGAAATGTGCGCGCCGCTTAAACACATAAGGGCTGCGCGGATCTGATAACGTTATTGAAGCTGGGCGTCCGGTTTCTCCCCGCACAATCTGACAGATTTGTGCACCGCGCATGTAACGCACTTGCGTGCCCAAGTCGAGATGATGCGCTTTTTTTTTCCCCCTCGTGGCGTTTTGGTTTCCGATTACGACGAGCGCTCTGGGAGCTTGGCTGCACGCGCATCCAGAGAGCTTCTTCTCCCATCAAAACACGAGTACGGGAATTGTCAATTTTCACCGTGGTAATATTAGCTTTGTGGACGGATGTGGCCTGCCTCTCCTCAATTACTCCAAGGCCAGCCCAGGACAGTAAATTCCTAGTGAGGCCTAGGGCAGGCGAGAAAAGTCGAAAGGCGGTAATAACACCCACATGTCACTCAGCGAATCCGATAGATATCAGAGACTACTGGGGGTCGACAAAAGGCTAGATTCGGCGTCTAGGCGAGTTGGCCAAGTGTGATGTGGCGATGAAAACGGCTAAAGATACCACTCTTAGTGATATTTCAAGTCTCATGCTGATCCTTGGCTTGGCCTGGGTAACTAGACCAGAGCCTCCTCGGACATGGTTCCGAGATACCAAACTTGACTTAGACTACGGAGTATGATGAATGAGTACCGACGGCATCTTCATAGTCACGTTTGGCTTTGCAACGCCGAAAACCGACGGATGTGAGGCTGATATACAACTACCGTGCAGCCCATCTCATGCATGAATCATGATGCCGTTTGAGCTTCCGATTCGTCCACCAAGTCGTCTGGGAATGAGCGGCATTATAATAACCGGTACTGGTCATACATGGAACCGCAAGAAGCCTAATCACTCTGCGGTGGCGTTCTCGTAGGAAGACCCCTGCCATGATCCGGCTGTTTTCTATACTTGTCCCAGTTTCCAGCAGGATATGCCGCATTATGCGCCAAGCTCGGCAATAGTTGTACAAATAGTCGAGCCAATGTCCAGCCTCGGTAGAAGCGGCTTGGTGTACATGGCAGAATTCGTAGCATTTTGGCAGCTTGCGGGGGCGACTCGAGACGTAAAGACGCTGTCGAGTTTGATATGAGCGACCCGAGCGTATTCCAAACTAAAGGTCTTTTTGATGCTGTGAGGCACGATGATACTCTGGACAAGAGTGACAGAGGCACAAGTATCACAGTCCACAAGGCATGTTGTGATGGACCACGCCAAACTCACTGCATGGCAGGTTGAGTTGAAATAGGCTCCTTGCTTGGCTTGTTGCCATGAACTTTATCTGCTTCTGGACAGCACAGGCCAACGATGCATGTCATAAGTCCGTCTATTTTCGTATCATAGAGGAATCCTCCTGTGGATCCTAAACTACGCCGCGGGGATAAACACCCAACGCCTAATATCTAAATTTTTATAGACCATTTATGCCCTCTTGTTAAATTGCAAAATGCCATCTCCGCTGCCATTTCTCAGTCAGTCTTATCCTCCTTCCGTCCAGCGAGGCCCATCCAGTCCCAACAAACTGTTTTCAGACGTTAGCGAGAACAAGCTCAGTCTCCCGGAAACCGGAATACGCTTACTCGTAAATCCAAGGTCGTGTTTGAAGTAGGCCTGCATGACATCCTCTCCAAAGACGGTGCCCTCGGGCCCCGAAGCAACAGCCGTCTTTCCCACCGCCAATCCAATCATGGGGGGCACTTCTTGGAGCTCTGCAAACTTGGGTTCCTGGCCTACATGCTTCTTCAGGAGGAATTTGTGAATGTTCTGAGCGGCATAGTGGCCGCTGTGCATGGCCCAGCCGCAGCGCTTGATGCCCGACCACTTGGTCAAGTCTCCGGCGCAGAGGTGGAATTCGGCATTCGGGGTGCCAGGGGAGAAAGTGCAACTGCGTTCATAGCGTGTCAGTGATGCGTCAATGCGACAAGGCGGTTGTATTTTATTTCCCTTGCCAAACGTGAGATGGGAAAAACGAACTTGCTCTCGATTTTAACGTAGCCGTCCCCGTCAATTGCCGATGAAGGCAGATAGGTCGCTGTTGACTTGCTCTTGGACATGGCCATGATAACCACACTGGCAGACATTTTGTGCCCATTAGTAAACTCAATCTCATATTTGGGGGACCCGTTGGCGGTCTCAGCCTCCGTGGTAGATGCGAGTCGATGGCTCATCAATACATCAACACCGGCCTCCTTGAGTAGCTCCAAGGCCTTGTCCTTGCACTCGTCTGAGAGATTCTCTGATGATAAAAGCTTGTCTCGGGAGTGGATAAGAGTAACCTTTACATCAGGCTTAACCAGCTTAAGCTCAGCTGCCATCTCAATGCCGACCGCTCCACCTCCCACAACAACCACGCCGTGCTGGGCGCTGGCAACTGAATGAATATGCTCCTCGACTTCGAGAAGATACTGCTTTCTCGTCAGGGATTGGGGCACGACCGGCCACACCCTCCGGAGACCGGTGGCAGCAACGAAGTAGTCATACTCGTGTGTGCTGGCAACCTTGGTTGTGCTGTCAATTGTAGTGGCTGTCTTTGCCTCGCAGTCAACACTTGATACAGAGGCCTGGATGAACTTGATCTGGGGGGTCTGCAGTCCAGGGAGGTCTTGGAATTTAATCCAGACCTTCTTGGCATACTCTGCGTCAGCCAGGGCAAGCGGAGACCCAATCAAGTGATCTGACTCCAAATGTTAGGCGCGGGTGTTGCAATTGCTCTCATTTCCATTCGATTACAAAGTCTACTTACAAAAACCGTCTCTCTCATCAGCAACGGTAATGTCCCAGTTTACGCGGGGAAGGTTGGGGTGATGCTCGTATGGCTGCTGGAACATGCGTGGCGAGAGACCCTGTCCGAGGTCGAGAAGATTGGTGGCCACGGACAGGCCAGCATACGAACCTCCCGCAATGAACACTCTGACGGTTGGAGCGTCTGACACATTTAGGACTGAACCCATTTTGGCGTTGCTGGCAGATAAGATGTTGGCTGGCTGCGTCGAAGAAAATGTTTGGGCATGTATGAAGTTGGAGAAGGGAAGTGGGATTGTTGAGGCCACAATGTTGGTCTGTCGCGACAGACGAGTGTGGGGATGGAAGAAGCTTGGCCCACGCGTGGAGACAGACGTTAGATGTCGGGGGCATATGAATACGGCGAGTTGTTGAATGACCTTGGAGCTGGGCCGGGATTTGGTCCAAGAAGACAACAGAGTAGATGTCCTTTGCGGACCAGACGAATGGAGGGCTTGGACGGCAATGGAACCAAGGTTCTGCATTCCGTTGGCTCGGGGAGAATAGCAGCGCGGCATTGTCATTGCCTGCTGGCACGGCACGAAAGGGTATTGGGAGGGTTGCACATGGTGTTGATCCCGAGCTGATTGATAAGTCTGCTACTCTACTGCAGCAGCACCAACACGGCTCACTTTCCCTGCTCCATGCGCTCCATAGTCTTGCTACAACGGCCTTCTGCTAGTTGTTACTTATGCTGTCGAACAACCGGGTATTCACAAGGCCGAGGGCTGTATAAAACCGAAGCCATAATGGAATCCGAACACAGTTCAAAGACCGGGTAAGGCGGGATGCTGTATGTAGCGGACAGGCTAAGCAGGCCGTCGTTCTATATCCTCGGACATCGGTGACTTGCTCGGCTAAGTTGGTTTGGACAACGCACGCAGGTCCCGGAGTGAAGGGCACAGATGGTTTCGGGCCAGTCAGAACCAAAAGAGTGGTTGTGAGTCGTGAGTCGTGACGCCAGGTGAGGGGCGGACCAGATGAGGGTGGACTCGGCTTATCAGATCCTCATGAAGGCCGTGGTTGGCCGACAGGCTAAACACCTGACACAGAAGGAAGGAACCGCCGGACCCGCTTAGGGCAAAATAGCCGGAGGCGCTCCTTCCTTGTGCTTTAATCTCTGACCGGATATCCGGAAAATCCTCCAAACCACATTTCCCTTTGTTGTTTGCTCCCAGCAGACTCCGTTTGAGCCATTAACTTGTGTTGGCATCGTCAGCAAATGTTGGGCGGCGGTGACCAACCGACCAAGCCAGCTTGTGCTTCTCCTCCGACTCCGTACCCTCCATGATGAGGCAGGGGGTTGCCTGCCCGCCACAAACGCCAAATGTGGCGCCGAGAGAAGTTATCTGATCCGAACCCGCCTACCGGACCTTGGGACCTTGCCAACTTGCGAGCCACGTCCGCGCATCGGAGGGGCGTGTCCAGCTTTGTACTTTGCTAGTCATCGAAGTGGGAAGGGGAGTGGGCGGGGATAGGTGAGCCGGCGGGAAGCAAGTATGTATCTGCATGTCAGTTGACCGTCCACCGTCGTATTTGTTTTATCCGACTGCCCACACATCTGACATCTCTTACAGCTTTGGCCCATCTGGCCCCCTCAGCAACGTACAGCTCGAGTGGGCGCGTCCGGGATGGTACTACATCGGAGAGGAGACAAAGTATCGGTACAAACAGGGGCCGTTTTAACCGTCTTCTCTGGCCTTGGCGGCTAACTCGATCGTTGGGGTACAAAGAAGGGACTTCAATGTACTTGTTCTTCAGCCTCTCGTTATTTGCGGTGTAGTAGTCCTCTGAGCTTGTCACCATCTTCTCCACCCCACATTACAGGACGGGGCATTAGCTCAGTCACTCATGAGAATAACTTCTTCCAAGGCCAGGGAGGCTTGATTCGTGCCGCCCATGATTGCAGGGGCTGGCTGACGACAACGAATGGATCTGGCAAAGTATTCGTAACCACGCCTTTTCTTTATCCATCCAGGACCAACTGGCCATGCTCGAGATGGCAGATCCAACGAATATCTAACACTAGATTACGGGGAGAAATTCAGGTCTGAGCAAGACATAGACCTAGGTCGCACACAGAGATATTTTGCGACATTTATTGGGGGGACATAAGATCTGCACCATATTAGCTGTTTCCACCAAGCAGCCCTGTCCGTCTTCGAGACGGTTACCTGGACAGCTAGCCATCTTCATTCTTCAGTCTTTTTCTGCCAAGATTAAGGCCGTTATAGCCTTGCAGTTTATATGGTCCCTCTCGATCGCGAGGCTGTCATCCTTACAGAATACATCTGGTGAAAGCGCGTTCCACTGTGTTGCTACTGCATCATGGCAGCTGGAAACGACATTGCCAGTCCGGTGGCTGCATCGGCACAGGAGTCCGCTACCACAGACAATGATTCCACAGGTGTTATGGTTGCAACGTCGCCTGCAAAGAACAACGTATGTACAGCCTTTGCCTCCTCCTTGGATAAGCTGTCGAATCGCGTCTGCCAACCAAGCCCGCCGAGCCGTTGGCTTTGCTTTGGCTGACGACTAATTAATTTGAGTCGACAGTTCTTCAGTTTCTTTCAGCTGCTGTTCTACGCCAGCCCGACATGGCTGGATTATCTTCTACTCGTCTTCGGCACTCTTTGTGCCTGCTGTGCTGGTGTCCCGTTCCCTTTGATGGGTATTCTCTTTGGCCAGGTTCTCGACAACCTCAATGATGCTTCGTGCGATGCAGAGAGTTCCCAAAGTACAGGCGATATTCAGTCCGAAGTCAACAAGAAGGTGCTGATACTGGTATACATCGCCATTGCCAACTTCATTGTCATATATCTCTACATTGTGTCGTGGAGCATATTTAGTCGCAGACTGGAGGCTCGAATAAGAGATCGATACTTTCAAACACTCCTTCGCCAGGATGCCACCTTTTATGACAGTCGCCAAGCTGGTGAGCTCACATCGCGGTTGAACTCTGATATCCAGATCATCCAAGCCGGTACCTCTGAAAAGGTTGGTATCTGTATTGCCGTTAGTTCCTTCTTCATCTCATCATATGTCGTCGCGTTTGTGAGGGACACAAAGTTGGCTGCTATTCTAATTAGCTTAATCCCTGCATTTCTGTTGATGGCAGCAATTACGAGCATATTCACGCAAAAGTACGCCGCCCGTATGTCTGACGCGATTGCTTCAGCCTCCTCTATCGCTCAGGAGGCACTCTCACATATAGCAGTGGTACAAGCCTTTGGAGCAGGCCCTCGCCTTGAAGCCAAGTTTGCTTCCACAATGATGACTGCCCAAAAAGAGGGAATGAAGAAGGCCGTAACGGCTGCCATTCAGGCCGGGACCCTCTTTTTCATTTCGTATTCCGCTAATGCTTTGGCATTCTGGCAAGGAAGTCGACAGATTGCCGATGCCGTGGAAAACGGCGGGAATAACGTCTCTGTTGGAAGAACATACACGGTCATTTTCCTCCTTGTAGACGGTGAGTCCAGTGCAAAACAAACTGAGAAATTGAAACTGAAAAATATCATGATCTTAACAAATCTCGGCAGCTTGCGTTATCCTTGGTTCCATTGCACCACTGCTCCCCATCATTGGGGCTGCAACCGCGTCATTTCAGAAACTGAAGGCGGATATTGACGCCCCATCTGGGATTGACTCGCAGTCGGGTGATGGGGACAAGCTTCCCGATACCATCGACGGCTCAGTTGAGTTTCACGATGTTTCATTTGCCTACGTTTCTCGCCCTGATCGTCCTGTGCTGAGAGGAGTCTCCTTCTCCTGCCCTGCCGGCAAGCATACAGCACTAGTCGGCCTTTCTGGAAGTGGAAAATCTACAGTTGCAGGTCTCACAGCGAGGATATATGATCCTACAGATGGTATTGTGACGTTGGACGGGCACGACCTAAAGAACCTTAACGTGAAGAATTTACGAAGCTTCATGAGCTTGGTTCAGCAGGAACCATCCCTTCTCGACAGATCCATTCTGGAGAATATTGCCCTTGGTATTCTCAACTCTCCTTGGCCCGAGCATCAGCGATTCCAGCCTGTGATTTTGGGATCTGGTCTAGCTGAAATTGCTGCCAAACTTGCAGCCGGAAAGGATCTAGCTTCTCTGGCAGGTGCACATGGCCCAGATATGGTCGATTTGGTCCAACTGGTTCGTGAGGCAGCCTCTCTAGCTGATGCCTCCGGTTTTATAGGAAGATTCGAATTCGGGTATGGAACTCAAGTCGGCATTGGTGGTAAACTGGTCAGTGGTGGTCAACGTCAAAGAATTGCGCTTGCTAGAGCACTTATTAGGGACCCCAAGATCCTTATTCTGGACGAGGCTACTGCTTCCCTGGATTCTGCCAGCGAGCATCGTATTCAAATGGCCATCGAATCCATTGCCAAGGGTCGGACTGTTATTGCCATTGCACACAGACTTTCTACTATCAAGAGCGCAGACAATATCATCGTCATGAATGGCGGCGAGATCATCGAACAAGGTTCTCATTTGGAGCTTATGGCACTTAATGGTTCATATGCAGGCATGGTTCGTCTCCAGAACATTGAGTCTTTGCAGAACGATGACACCCCGTCCATGGCAAGTACTGCAAGAGGGGACGTCGACACGATAATTACAGAGAAGGACTCTGTTCTCGAGGAAAAGACCGCAGACACGTTTCAGGTGCAAGACAAGGAACAACCTGCTCTGAACTCAGAGGGTATTATACCAACAACTTCCAGTCTCGATTCCAGTAAAACCGGCTGGGAAATCATTAAGGATTTGGGTCGTATGATGCGACCACATTTGTCTTGGTTTCTGCTGGCTATTGCGGCCGGAATTATTGTTGGAGCAAGTTTCACTGGATCTGGTTTAATATTTGGTAACACCGTTGGAAGGCTAAGTCCGTGCAATTCCCCAGGTGACATTCGCTGGGCAGGAAAGTTCTTTGGAGGCTTGTTCTTCATGTTAGCCGTCATCGAGCTTCTCGCCAATTCAATTAGCTGGTCCTCTTTTGGTAACATTTCAGAGAAACTTCTCTACAAGGTCCGCGTACTTTGTTTCCGTTCTCTCTATGAACAAGGCTTGGACTGGCATCAGGCTGATGGGCGCACCCCAGCATCGTTATTGTCCGTCATTACGGCCGATGCTGCCGCTATCGGTGGCTTTAGCGGCTCCATTATTGGAAATTGCTTTTCAATCATTGTCAACTTCGTCATAGCCATCATTGTTTCGCATATTTTGGCATGGAAGATTGCTATAGTGTGTCTGGTGACGGTACCAATACTATTGGGATCAGGCATTCTACAGCTTCGGGCTCTGACCAGATTTGAGCGGAAACATGCCGACGCGTTTTCAGATGCCATCGGTATTACCGTCGAGGCTGTGAATTCTTTCAAGACTATTTCGTCTTTATCCCTGGAAAACGAAATTCTGGGCAACTATCGCCGGACGCTTCGCCCGCCGTACAAGGCCATGGCGGCTGGCACTGCCTATGCCAATATATGGCTCGCTATTTCGTATGGAACTAGTAACCTTATATATGCATTTGCCTACTGGTGGGGTTCAACGAGAATCACAAAGGGAGAGTACACCTCCACCGAGTTTTTCGTCATTCTCGTGGCTATGCTAGTTAGTGCTCAGCTTTGGGGCAACATGTTTACCCTTGCCCCGGAGGTTTCGCGTGCCCGTGAAGCGGGCTCCCGCATATTGAGTCTAATAGAACAAGGTTCTTCCAAAGACCTGGCGGTCAAGGAAATGGCTCTTTCGTCAACACAAACTACCGCCAGAGAGGACATTGAAGCTGCTGCGGAGGGTCCTCCGAAGTCTGCTTCTCCCAACAGAGGTGCTACCGTAACGTTCAAGGACGTTTCATTCGCGTACCCGGCCCGGCCGCATATTCCCATTGTCCAGAACATGTCATTCACCATCCAGGCGGGCCAGTTTTGTGGTCTAGTCGGACCCTCAGGGGCGGGCAAATCTACCATCCTGTCACTTGTTCAAAGAATGTACCGTCCAACAGGAGGAGCTATCGAAATCAATGGATCGAATATTTGTGCACGAGAGGGGACTGAGTTCCGAAACGACATTGCCGTCGTCCCCCAAGACTGTGCTCTTTTTGATGGCACAATCAAGTTCAACGTCGGCCTCGGCGCAACGCCAAATCATGAGGCAACCGATGAAGAAATCAAAGAGGCTTGTCGTTTGGCTAACATACATGACACCATAATGGCACTCCCGGACGGATACAACACTGAGTGTGGTCCTAATGGATCGCGTTTGTCTGGGGGCCAGCGACAGCGGCTAGCCATTGCTCGAGCTTTGGTACGAAAACCTCAGCTTCTCCTTCTTGATGAAAGTACAAGTGCACTCGACGCTGAGAGCGAAAAGGCATTACAGGAAGGCCTGGAACGAGCCGCTAGAGGCATCACGGTCATTGCCATCACTCATCGCCTGCGCACCGTTCGCAAAGCCGATGTCATTTTTGTTGTTGAAGGAGGAACAATTGTAGAGAAGGGTCGTCACGAGGAGCTCGTGGAAAAAAGTGAAACATATAGAATTAACGCATTGCAGCAGATGCTTGGGTCATAAGGAAATGGGTATAGAATTAGAACTTCATCTCAGATAGAAACGCATACATATTTTAATTAGTCGCAGGAAGGCCGGTGCTAGGATGAAGGCGCCACTGAAATGACGTTTTGAAAGGTTATTCTCTATAGCGGCTTAAAATTTGACATGTTGCAGCAGTAGACAGCTTTTCGCAACGAGCCAAGAAGTGATGGCTGGCTACCGATGTTCTTTCTTTGTTGATGATGCTTGACGAGAAGTTGTACTATCCTCCGGAGGAGAATTCCTGTGCTCAAAGTAATAGCATGTAAAGAACTTGGAGCCCCTCAGCATCTTTACTGATACATGATCTTCTTAAAGATGCCAGAAACGCGAAGGGGATTCTCCATGTGAGTGAAGCCATTGGATTAGTATGCCAAGTCTTTCTTGGAGAAGGGTTGGGGACCTTCGGGTGCGTGTAGCACAAACAGGGAGTCATGTGGCATATTTATGGCACATGCAGTAGTATTTAAAAAGCATATCGGGTCGAAGTTGAGGGCCAGTCATGATGGCTTGTGTCAAGTATCAAGTTATGCAAGTCATTTTCTTTCGAGAAACCAGACCCAAGTACCCAATTGCACGGTATGAGATTCTGCGTGTACGGAGTACACATCGGGTTAGTTCACGAGGCACCATTACAGCCAATCGGCCTTCAACTTGACACCCCTGACTGCAACCTCAAAATACTTCTTTCCGGATGAGTATGTATAACTGGACGTTGAGAAGATATTCTGGTTCATATGCACTGCCATGTCGTCGGAGCCAGCTGACATCAACTTTAGGTGGTGGCTTGAGACATTGAGACTTGCTAGACTTCCAAGGTTCGGCAAGTCGTTCCAGTGGAACAGGCACCAGGCCCCACATGTGTAAAAGACGAGACGTCATTGGACAGTGCGCTCGCCATGCAGCGAGATGCCTCGTGCGTCTCAAGCTTTCACAAGTTCCATGTTCACACAGTACGGAGTGCCTAGGCCGGTACTTGCTTGGGCACTCTGCGCCAACACACAGCACCTGACGGCAGAGCCGCTGCAGGCACGTCCACACTTGGTGCAACCTCCAAGTGGCCTGCGGCAACTCTGACCTGCAGCTGAGGCCAATCAACCAGACTTCTCCACCACACATGTGCAAACTAATGAGCGACTGTGGATTACGACAGCGTGCGTGGACTTTCAATGCTAACAGGACCAGCATTTCGGCTCGGGCATCTCCAGACATCCAGAGTCATCCAAGTGTTCAATGTTGCTTCCGACGCCCCCCTTCGCCCTGGAGGAGCCATTGGACCTTGCGAGCTGCCACCGACTCGTGGTGTCGCGTGAACAAAGCGACCAGACCCTTTGCATTGAGTGTTGGATTCCCCTGGGCTGCACCTCTGCCTAGACTGATCTAACCATCTTGTTCACCGGCTACTGCCCAGCTTGACCACACGGTCGACCTAAAGCTCCATAATATCCTCCATGTGGCGCTAGTAGCGAAACCGCTCCGGTTACATCTTCCACCATTCCAACTACATCTCGACCCGAGAATCCCTCCTCCGTTCCTGGCACAGGCCCCGCCACTCAGATCTTTGACAACATTTGCACCTCGACTGGCCAACGTGAAGGAGGAGGGAGTTCGCATCTAGACCCAGAGAGCCCTGTTGTACTGCTTCCTGGCGACGGGACCGACACATACGAGCTCGCCGACTACGGCGAGATCCAGGAAAGCAAAAAGGCACACGCCGTCGAGAAACGAAGGCAGGAGAAGCGAGACCGAAAGCGCCAGTGGATTGAAACACAGGACGAGATGAAGTTCTCTCATAGCATCCAGTTCAATGCTGTTCCGGACTGGAGCAGCCACTACATTGCCTACAGCAATCTGAAGAAGCTGTGAGTAAATGTTGCAAAGTTTATCCATGTTCCCAGTCGTCTCCCACTCCTCTCATGACACAAACTCTCTGCTTACACCAAGTCTCTCCGTCATCCAGTATCTACCAGCTCGAGAAGAATGCCCACCAGTCACGAGCAGGCGGCGACTCAGAATCTCGGCCACTCATCTCCAGCGAAGAACCGACAGAGGTATTCAGCAGGGCGCTTGGCATCGAGCTCGAGAAAATATGTTCCTTTTACGTTGCCAAGGAAGGAGAGCTGTTGGATGAAGTCAACCAGCTGGTCCGAGACGTCATGGAGAGGCCATCATTAGAGAGTCCTGACCTGCGGCGAATGTCACTTGGCGAGTACAACCGTCCTCATCTGCGACCATTGAGCTCTACTGGTCTAGCCTCAGACGACGACATGGACGACAGCGGAAGTGATGATGACGAGACGACTGGGTTGCACAAGCCGAAGAGTAGTAGTGGTCGGCGGAGGACTATTGCCAACATTGGCCAGCATCAGGTTGATTTGGCCGCGTCCTCGGAATTTACCCGCTCTGTACGGAGGCACAGTACCGTCGAGGACTTTGGTGATCAGTCAGTCATGTTTGCTTCAGGCTTATTCTCGTCCAGCATCATGTTGAAGAAGCGCATCGTCAGCCTCTATGTACAGCTGTGTGAGCTCAAGTCGTACGCCCAACTGAACAAGACTGGTTTCAGCAAAGTCCTGAAAAAATTCGACAAGATACTCGACAAGGAACTCAAGGGGCCATTTATGAGGGCCAACGTTGACACAGCGTACCCCTTCAAGAATGAAACCAAGAAAATCATCGAAGAGAATATTGAAAAGATGGAGGACGCTTACACTGAAGTTGTTACGGCTGGTGACCGAGAACTTGCTAAGAAGGACTTGCGGTCTCACCTGCGAGAACATGTCGTGTGGGAACGTAATACCGTGTGGAGAGACCTCATCGGTATTGAAAGGCGTGGCGAGGCGGCTAGATTTGGCCAATCTCTACTTGGCCAGGACCAGACCGCAGCGCATAAACGCCTTCAAGGTGACGATGAGGAGATCGCGGCAGCGAAACAATTCAGGACGCCTCTTGGTCGCCTCTCACTGCCTACTTGGCTAACTGACTCCTCCATGCTCACTTTGCTGGGCTGCCTGGGTGCTTTTGCAGCACTCCTTGCCATTCCCATTATGGATAAGCCTGAGGAACAAAACTGCCTGGCCATGTTGGTCTTTGTCAGTTTGCTATGGGCAACCGAAGTAAGTTATGCGCCAAGGAGCCAAATGCTCAGATCGTCACTAACGTCCTGCCTACTAGACTATTCCACTGTTCGTGACATCGCTTCTCATCCCTTTCTTATCCGTTGTGCTCCAAGTCGTTTGCGACGAAAATGGATCCAAGCGCAAACGTCTGGGTGCTAAACAGGCTACGAACGCAATCTTTGCTGCAATGTGGAGTCCAGTCATCATGTTGCTTCTTGGTGGCTTCACACTTGCGGCTGCCCTCTCCAAGTGCAAGATAGATAAGCGTCTCGCAACACTCATCCTTAGCAAGGCCGGCACGCAGCCACGGACAGTACTGGTGGCAAATATGTTTGTTGCTGCCTTTGCGTCGATGCTGATTAGCAATGTTGCTGCCCCCGTTTTGTGCTATTCCATCATCGAGGTATGTTTGCAAATGCGCATTTATAAAGGTCCTGGTTTGGGAATTCGACTAATCTGCGTCTCAGCCTATGTTGCGCACTCTACCGTCTGATTCAGACATGTCCAAGGCCGTCATAATTGGAATCGCCCTTGCCTCCAATATTGGCGGCATGCTGTCACCAATTGCATCGCCGCAGAATGTAGTTGCTATGGGCATTATGAAGCCGGAGCCGACGTGGTTGCAGTGGTTCTTCATCGTCATCCCTGTTGGTGCCGTCTCTATTTTTTTTATATGGATGCTATTGCTTGTGACATTCCAGCCAGGCAGGGGAACCGCCATTGCGCCAATTCGGCCGGTCAAGGAACGCTTCACTGGCGTCCAGTGGTTTGTAAGCGTCGTCACGATTGTCACCATCGCTTTGTGGTGTGCAAGTCATCAGATGGATCATATTTTTGGCGATATGGGTGTAATTGCCATTATCCCCATTGTTCTTTTCTTCGGCATCGGAATCTTGACCAAGGAAGACTTCAACAACTTCCCCTGGACAATCATTATCCTGGCTGCAGGAGGCTTGTCCCTTGGCAAGGCTGTTCGATCATCCGGCTTACTCCATACCGTTGCAGAACTTGTTTCCAAAAATGTCGAGGGCATGAGTTTGTACGGCGTACTCGTCGTCTTTGCCTCACTAATCTTGGTGATTGCGACTTTCATCAGCCACACTGTCGCAGCGCTGATCTTCTTGCCCCTGGTATTTGATGTCGGCATGTCGATGGATCAGCCTCACCCCAACCTATTGGTTATGGGTGGTGTATTGATGTGCAGTGCAGCCATGGGACTTCCCACCAGCGGCTTCCCCAATATGAGTAAGTTTTTGCAGTACCATCTGGCTGTTGACCACGCGCTAATATGATGCAGCTGCTATTATGAAGGAGGATGCCACAGGGCAAAGATACCTCCGAGTCAGGCATTTTATCAGCAGAGGCATTCCCAGCAGTATTATCACTCTCGCTGTTGTCATTACTCTTGGCTATGGCATTATGCAGGTTGCAGGATTGGATTAGAAAGCGTTCTTGGGCATACTCTATATGGATACTTGAGGGTTCAGCTAGCCGCGCATAGAATTGATAACGAAAATATATATGCAATATTGAGAAGACGGAAATTTTGAGCACGCTGTTTGATTACCAGTTGATACATAGCCACATATACATACATTTTCCTTCGTCCGACATCGCTTAGAAGCCAACATCGACATTTGCACTGTGATGATGTGGAGACGAGGTGCCTTTGTGTACTGTGCGAGACCTCTCATTTCGCACTATACTTAGCGGCAAGCTGTATCTTCATTGACGTCGTCGGCGAGTTGGGGCAACGACACCTGACATCCGGATCAAGACAACACGGCGTACACTGGAGTTTTGAGTGTCCCGCCACCGCCCTTCGTGCGCCCACCGTCGGTCCGAAATCTGCGAGCTCTTTGTGCACAGTCTAGACCTGGTAGCTGCAGGCGATGCTGAAGCTGTCGAAGCTCTGATGCACGTCATTGTATTATAGCTTGCTAAGCTTCGAGCTGGCTCGCCGGCGCCATGCTCTCCGCGTTTACAGCTCGCCCGGTTATCGAGCTCCGGCAGCGAGACAAGTCAAAGATCGAGACTATTCTAGCATATGGTACAATTTCACAATATTATAGGCGTCCCGCATGGGCCAAGGATTATAGGGACAGTACAGGCTAATATCTGTTCCAGGCGACCGTATCCTCGTCGGGCTCAACAGTGGCGCTCTTCGCGTCTACAGGCTGAACGATCCTTCCTCGCACCAACAAGGCGAATCGCCATCGGCCGTCGACCAGGGAGCCTCAAATACAAGTCCCTCACAGAATGGAGGTCCGCCAGTCTCACGGCCATCGGGCAAACCGACTGACTTGCTGCGTGAAGTAGAGAAGTTCTCGACACGCGCCATCGATCAGCTTGCAATCATCAAGGAAGCCAACATTATCATCTCCCTGTCGAATTACTACGTGTCGCTGCATGACTTGCAGAATTACGACCATATAGAAACCCTCAGCCGGACGAAAAATGCTTCGTGCTTTGCCGTGACATCAAATATTATCAAAGACAAAGACACGGGGATTCCGGAAATCATCAGCCGGTTGGCAGTGGCGGTGAAGCGAAGGCTCTTGTTGTGGAATTGGCATGAAAGTGAGCTTAGCGGGGATGTTGTGGAAATTGTCCTCTCCGAAGCGATTCGATCCATTACCTGGGCCAACGCGACAAAGCTAGTATGTGGAATGAATAGCGGTTATGTGGTGGTTGATGTCGTTACTCGGGAAATTGTCGATATTGTAAGCCCAGGTGCAGTTGGTATTAACGGCCAGGGGAGTCGATTCGGAGCCGTGAGTACAGCTGGTATGGGCTACGTGGGCTTGGGAGGGTATACCCCGAAGCCTCTGGCCACAAAACTTTCGGAAGGCCAGATATTACTGGCAAAGGATGTTAATACCATGTTCGTCGATGATAGTGGCAAGCCGCTTGAAAAGCGACAAATACCGTGGACATCAACGCCGGAGACTATTGGGTATTCGTACCCGTACATTTTGGCACTACAGCCTCCTGCCAAGGGCTCTTTGGAAGTTCGCAACCCAGATACATTATCATTGATGCAGACCGTATTCCTTCCTGGAGCTGCTCAACTTCATTTCCCTCCCTCAACAGTCAGTTTAGCGCACGCAGGTAAGGGCTTCCATATCTCTAGCGATCGATGCGTGTGGAAAATGGATGCTACCGATTACGATTCCCAAGTTGCGGAACTCATCCAGAGTGGTAATTTCGACGAAGCGATTAGTGTTCTGAACATGCTGGAGGATGCACTGCTCAAGAACAAATTTGACACCTTGCGAGAGGTGAAAATGCTCAAGGCGGAAATGCTGTTTAAAAAGAGAAAGTTTCGCCAGGCAATGGATCTGATGAATGAGGACGACGTCCACGCACCCCCAGAAAGAGTTTTGCGGTTGTTTCCTCCCAAGATATCTGGGAACTTGTCACAATGGGAAGAAAGTCAACATGACGATGATGCAGATGGGGATGCAGCCAAGACCACTAATGGCGAAAGACCAGGCAGTCGCGAGGGCACTGGGGATTCTGCTGCGGCAGCAAATGTTGGGGGCTTTGCAAAGTTATTCTTGAGCGGCCATAAGAAGGCTGCTGCATCAGATGCAGTGTCAGTTCCCTCTAAGAAGGACGGAGCTGATGTGGAGGATACACACAGCGTCAAGGATGTACATGGCACTGAAGACAAGCCTCTTGAGGGTAAGGACCTCAAGAATGCTGTCTTGGAACTTAACAGCTACTTGGCTGGTACCCGAGCCAGGCTTCAACGATACATCGACCCAATTACAGGAAAGTTAAAAGACCAGGAAGATAAGAAACGGTCTATTGAGGAAGCGGCGGAGCGATTCCTGAGGACCACACAGACAGAATCAGAAAAAAAACTGGAAGAGGAACTCCGGAATACGTTCCGCTTGGTCGACACGACCCTTTTCAGAGCCTACATGTTCTCACAACCTTCGTTGGCGGGCTCGCTGTTCCGAATACCGAATTTCTGCGACCCAGAGGTGGTGAACGAAGCATTGCTGGAGCATAATAGATATACCGAACTGATTGACTTCTTCTACGGCAAGAAACTGCACAAACAGGCTTTGGGTCTTCTCCATAGATTCGGGTCACCGATGAAGTCTGATGAAGCAGCACCGAGTTTGCATGGGCCGGATCGCACAATTCAGTATCTGAAAAACCTGCCACCCTCTGAGATGGATCTCATTGTTGAACATGCCGGGTGGGCACTTAAGAGCAACCCGACGTATGGCATGGAAATCTTCACTGGAGATACAGAAAATGCGGAAACATTACCTCGCGACAGAGTAATGGTATTTCTTCGAACTGTTGATGCTCAGCTCGAGAGGCAGTATCTAGAGCACATCATCAATGAGTTGGACGACACAACGCACGACTTCCATAACCGGTTGGTGGAGCTGTATGTTAAGTCTCTTGGGGGGATGAAGAGAGGTGAGGAATGGGATGAGACTATGACCAAGTTTGTAGCATTCCTTCGTGACTCTCGACAAGTATACAGCCTGACAAAGGCGCTGGGAATGATACCCAAAGATGGTAAGAAACAAACAGATTGTGCTGGTGTTGACATTGTCGAACTAGGATGATCACTAACAAATGGACAGATCCGTCATTTTATGAGGCGCAGGCCGTTATTCTGAGCAACATGGGTCAGCACAGGAAATCATTGGAGATATATGTGTTCAAGATGAGAGACTATGCAAAGGCAGAAGAGTATGTATAGCCATTTGAAGTGGAGAAGGATTCCAGTCTCCTAACCTGTACAGGTATTGCAACCGAGTGTATAAGTCACAAGATACGACACAATCATCCCCCCTCAACTCCAAGGATAATGCATCGATTGACACAGATGACTCCACACAGTCGATCTACCACATACTATTATCTTTGTATCTCAAGCCGCCGTCGCCGCACGCAGTGCAACTGGAGCCGGCTTTGGATCTTCTATCAAAACACGGTTCTCGATTACCAGCCACATCGACTCTAAGCCTGATCCCCGATGATCTTCCTGTCAACTCCCTGGAATCCTACTTCCGCGGGCGCATACGGTCTGCGAACAGCCTTGTCAACGAGTCTCGGATTGTTGCTGGCCTGCGAAAAGCTGAACAGATTGCTATTGCTGCACGCCTGAATATCGGCGACAGTGAAATCAATGGCCAGGGTGGGCGAAACCGGCATGTTACCATCACAGATGAGCGTCACTGTTTCGTTTGCCACAAGAAACTGGGTGGAGGGATGCGATTCGGCGGAAGTGTCGTGGCCGTCTTGCCGGATAATACCGTGGTGCACTATGGCTGTTTGAATAGGGCGTTGGGTCAAAAAAAAGCCGATGGTTGACGAAGTGCAAGCTGGGCTAGGGATTCGTCGCAACCCACACTCGGAGGCCACCGTTTTCGACCAAGTGGCGGGTTATGCGTAGCGACAAGGTGCTATTGTAGGAGCATTTGCATTGCGTGGTCATGATATCTGGTCCGTTGGTTTTTCTAGGGATACCCTGGGTCGCGACTTGTACTCTTTGTAGTCTTTTTTTTTATCCTTTTTTCTTTTCTCGGTAGAAGGTTGTCGACAATAGCATTCTTGCGCACTCAGTCCTCCTCTTCCTGGACTTCCTCGCCATAGTTTTCTTCCTCCTTGTCCTCGTCAGCACCAAGCCTGGCGGCGATGGTTGCACCGGAAGCGGCCTCACGAGCCTTGTCTTCTTCCATTCGCGCCGTCAACTCCTTGTTGATTTGTTCTTGTGTATCGGTGACTGCCTTGCGGAGAGCCTCGAGGAAGTGTGTTTTGTCCTGTACAGAGGTAGATGGCGAGGTAGGAATGCTCTCGGTGATGGTGAAGTGCTCGTTTTCCGGCGACTTATATGACGCCGTGAGGCTGGTGGTGTCTTTGCTCTGCAATGCCATGATTTTGGGAATAAATAGTACGACCGTGACACTCGCCGGATATGTCTTGTTTGTGGGTGGTATGTGACGACGATTCCGCAGACTTGGTGGTGGGAGCGGGTTGCACCGTGGAAGTGGGATGTTTTATTTTTTTTTACTTTTGATTTTTATTTGTTTTTTCCCGAGGTGGGCCAGCACGGCAATGGTTCACTGCAATACTCCGTACTTGCGTTGTTGTATGATGCTCTAGTGCGCGGGGTTGCAGTAAGCTGCCTGGCCGGGGTCCAGACTTCAGAGCGTCCTCTGGCGTCAATCCTGGCCTGCAACTCCACGGCCGATGCCTATCTCGATCCATCGTTTATCGAACTTGGCCGTACTCCTCCCCCCGTCCCTTGTGTTTCCTCCTCCTCTTCATTGACACCCACCATCCAAAACCTACCAATCCAACACCTACGACGCACATCTCAATACAACTCGACAGGCAGATACTCTCTCAGTTTATTACCCTCGCAGCCGCCCTCTCCTCTGTTGATTCGTCCACGTCGGCCAAGCCAATCGGGCTGCCTCTTTGGTGCCTTGCGACATCACGCCCACCTTCTTATTGCAGGCCGATCCAAGACTTTGACGCATTATTGCTTCTGCCATGGACGTTTTGCTCTGAGTCAAAATGTAACAGACCCACCCCACGCCTCACCCAGCACTACCGCGACAATGCAGCCAGGACAACCACCACCACCACCTCCTCCACCAACATCAGGGCGACCTCAGACCCGGGCTCCCGGCAGCTTCTCACCTCTGCCGGGAGCCACGAGCCCTCCTGTCGACCCATTACGACAGCAGCCGTCGGCGCCGACTAGGCCACCGCCCCTGCGCATTGATTCCTCGGGGAGTGATGACAGTCTCGAAGCACCTTCCATGCCCATAGCCGCATCGCGACAACGACCCGACTCGCCAGCGACGCCTATATATGCCCAGTTTGCCACGGCGCATGCAAACGCGAGCAGCTCCAACGTACATCAGAACTTCTCCCGGCCAGGAGGAGGCCCAAGTCGTCCGGCGGCTGTAGGACTGTCCTCGCCCGTGCTGAAAGGCCACTCAAGGAAGCACTCGGCCACACAGGGTTATTTTGATTCCACCCTCCCTTCTACCGCTACGTCCAACCTCTCTCACGTTAGCATGAGCGCCGCGGCAGGTCAAGCGGCGGCGGCGGCAGCGGCAGCGGTAACGTCGACCGGGTCGCTATCAGCTAGCCAGATTGCCGCCCAGGCCGCGGTTATGTCGCATCAAAACACCTCTCATGTTCGCCAGCGGTCACAGACTGTGCCGTTTCCCGGTGAAGGCGCAGATGGTGTGCGGCGTGGCAGCGGATCCAAGGTACCGCTTAGTCCGCCTATTTTGAGTCTCACCGAGGCGAGTGCACCTCGAGATTCTGCTTTCGTTGCGCACGGCGGCCAGCATTACGATAAAGCTGCTGGGTCTCACTCGTCAGCCGCTACAGCGGCCGCAAATGTTGTATTTCCACGGTCCGGACACAACTCTCCACGAGAAAAGTCGATTTCTCCGCAGCCTTTCCCGCCCTTCCCGCCTGTCCCACCACTCCCCGCTACCATTCCTGAGAAATCAAAGGCGGAGAAATCAAAGCACAAGCTGTTTTCAAGGCCAGGGAAGAGTAGCAGCAGCAAAGGTGAGGCCAAGGACAAGAATCTTCAAAGCCCTGGCAAGATAGGGAGCGCCTTGTCTGCATTGCAACGAGGCAACTTCAGCACCAGCAGTCTTGTAGACCCGCCTACCCAATCGCTGTATAGCCTCAACAACTCATCCTCTGCTACCATCAGACCCATCGAGGTATTCTCGGAAGAAAGGGTGAAGGAAAAAGAGAAGAAACACCACCATTTTCTATCTCGCCAAAAGCAAAAACTAAAGGACGAATACCACTTGCCTCTATCTTCAGCTTCAAGTAATTCTAAACCGACAGATCCAAATGCACCCAGCAGCCTGTACAATTTCAACGTTCCTGCCAGCCCAGGACCAGGCACTTCAACATTTTCGAAAGGAAAGAAGGACAAGAAACTTGGCGAGAAGTCAGACGGTCGATTAGACAGCGAATCGACCTTCAACTTGGCCGGTGATTGGTCTACGTCATCAGGATTGCATCCTTTATCACAGCAGTCAACCTTGTACGATGTGGCAGAGCCTGGGAAGGCCGTTAGCCAGAATAACCTGGCTCTTGACGAAGCCTGGCCCTACTTGAAATCAAAGCTGCTTGTCGTTTTCGAAGGCGAAGATCTTCGTCTCCCCGTTGAGGACTTCAACCGGGTGGTTCAGACACATATCCAGTGGTGTATTCACAAAAGATCGCCTAGTTCCATGGTGGACGACTTGCGAGATTTATTGACGACAGGGTTTTCAATACTGGACAGGACCCTGCGCTTGACACCCGAAGACCAGTTCATCCCGACAGTGGTGGAACTCTGGATGTTCACATTCACATCCATCTTGCCGTATATGCAGTCAGTCTTCCTACCTCTGGACCTGGAGGTCTCTGGCTGCGGGGTCATCATGACGCCTGAGCAAGCTCGAGACTTTTGGGGTGGTGTCGTCGCATCTCCGTCATCTTCGAATAAACCCGCAGGCGATGCGCCGGCTGCAGCTGTGCTGGATGTAAGAAGACTCGTTCTTACGGCGTACCGTGACATTGTTGTTCTCCCTCGATATGACACTCTCAAGACCATATTCTCTCGCCTGTCCCTCGAATTTCTGCCGTCATCGTTTGCGCACATGGCGTTGGCTTCTCCGCCTCTGGAAAGAATGCTATCGACATCGCCGGCCGAGTCGCAATCCTTCATAATTCGCCCCGGGACAGCCACTTCGGTGGATCCTTTGGTAGGTAGTTTCAACTCTACAAGCACCACTTTGCTCGGCGAGGGTTCAGAACGAGGAAGAAGTCGTGCTGTCAGCAATGTCAGTTTTGGCAGTCATGGCAGCGACAGCGCTGGTGCCATTCGCCCCTTTACCCCGTCCGGCCTGCCTGCACTTAGCAGTGTTCGAGAGCAGAACGTGGAAGACTCGAAGCAACTGACGGACATGGTGGGCCGGATGTTGCAGTGCATGAGCGTCTTATCCAGTATTGGCGGGGACGATGCCGACGACGAGGGGAGCAAGAAGATTGAGGAGCTGTGTAAAATGCTCAAGCTGAATTGGTTGGGCAGAGGGAGAACAGGGAGAAACCGTCGAGGTATTGTGGGCGGTAGGGTACGACGTGATGAAGGAAGGGAAGAATTACGGGTTGCTTGAACGGGTACCGAGGGACGGGGATCATGACATGATGACATGCAAGGCTAGACAGGGCGACAGGGAACAACGGAGTTGCGTGCAGGATTGTTCGCTCTCAGATGCCATCAAGGTATTGGTACTGGCGAAACAATGGAGTCGGCGTTGGGTAGTCGTGGACTTTACAAGAACACACAAAATGGAACGAAAATAACGAAGCAAACGGTTGGCAGCAGAGAAAAGTCAAACATTATATTGACTATATAAAGTGTTACTATTACGAGTGTGGAATTCAAGTACAGGCACCAGTATGGGTGTCCAAAATGGGGGTGTAGGCCTGTTTTGTTATCGTTAGCTGGATGCTCATTGGCCATGGTAGTGAACAACAAGTAATGAGTAACGATGGGAGTTCAGACATCCAAGGAAGATCATTAACCCTCATCTGTCCCAAAATAGGCTCAATGGGACTCGAGTGGAAACTGCGAATGAAATGGAAAGTTTCATCATGAAAAAAAACGTTACAGTGTATTACTAAAAGGGGGTCGTACTCACACGTTTCAGAGAATTGTCAATCTGGGGAAGCTATCAACTCGACCTGGGAACGGGGACGAGGCATCTGATTACACACATTAGCGACGCGTCCAAACGAACTGTACGAAGAGTTAATGTGAAACAGTGATAGTCAGACAGGAAATACTGGCAAGTAACAGGCCTTGGGCCCGAACAGACTAAACTTTCTTCATGGTCGAATCGGTTGGGAAAAGAAGACGTTTCAAACAGTGTCATCATCCAAGGGATGTAGCGGGTAGTGGCGGATAAATGCAGGAGAGAGAGAGAGCTTACTTACCTAGGGATATGAGGCTGAGTGCATGTCTTGTTAGCATTGCTGAATGGTGTTTGCAAGCTCCCACACACCCAATTGTTCCAAAGCACAGCTTGTGAATTCTAGCACGGAAAACCCGCCAGCGACAGCTCAACTTAAAGCTTGTTGTTTTCCATCTTCGAGTTGGACTGCACCCAGTTCTCAAAAGCGATGAAATTGCTCGTGATCGGCGCGCATGCAGAAGGCAGAAGCTTTGTTTGTTGCAAATGGAAGGAGAGAGCGTGGGAAGGAAATTTTCAGATTCGCATCGCGTCGCGGAAGAAGATATTGGATAACAGTGCTAGCAAATTTTTAACACTGCTGCGCACTGTACGCCAGCACGTGATATTGAGACCACTCGGAGGTTGAACTTTAGCGGCGGCACCCAAAAATAGTGGCGCTGGGTATACTCGGTACATAGATATCATGCGACAAGGAGGTCTGCAGTTCTGTGCAAGCAAGAGAAAAATAGGGAGGTGCAGAAAAACAAGTGAAGACTGTCTCAAAATCTCACGCTTGATTCTGCGAGCTGCGCATACCTTTTTTTTTTTTTCTTGCTAGCCGAACCTTTTTTCCCCCTCAGCTACTGCCGGCCTTGGTGTGTGCCAACTTGCAGCGATCAAGGCCACAGACTTTGATATATGCATAGACTGCTTTGTGCGATATTTGCTTTCGGCCTAGTCCGGTTTGACATGGTCTGCCCGGCCAATCGCCTCGGCGGACAGAAATAATGCGCATGTAACTCTTGCAGTTCCATACTGAGTGGTTGGAATTATTTTTACAACCCTCGATCCGGAACCCCTGATAGTTGCATGTCTCCACTTGTGGGTGGGGTCGCCCCTTCGGTGCTGCACCTCCCCTTCCCACTCCCATGTTCGCACGTACGACTGTGGGAAGATGGCACGCCCGTCTCGGTGCCCGTCTCTGCTGCTCTCGTTGGCTTGCTCGCCCATTAGTTATCAACAACCAGTCCGAGTTTGCCTCTCCTAGCTTGTTCTGGCCGTGTGAGTTGAGAGGTTGCGACCAGTTGACCCCCGACATTGTTGGTCCCTCATCACACTTGCAACACCATTTCTGCATCATCCCACGCCATCGCCCAACCCCAAAAAGCTGCGAGCCAAAAAGGGCGGGAAATCGTACGTTGTACCCAGCGGCTCCTGTCAAGCGCTCTGCACCGCCGTCGTCGGGGCTTGGCTGACGCTGAAGCGGCCGAAGCGCAGCGCGCGAAACAAACGACCAGTTGACCAGAGGCGGCCAGCGGCCAGGCCACAGCCATTTGATAGCAGAGGCTGCCGCGCCCCATATTATTGACCAGACCAGTGCTGCTGGGCCCATCTTTCGCCTCTCTCTCACACTCTCTCTGCGAAAGCTCTTTCGGGACGTCGAGAGAAGCCAGAACGACGATCCCCGTCCTGCGTCCTGCGTCCTGCGTTGCGTCCCGACCTCGACCCTTCTTCGCCCTCGTCCGCCCCGGCGCCCAGAAGACGTGTCGCTTATCGCCGCTGCATCCTCTCTGCCCATCCATTGCCTCGCCGACCTGGCAGACGCCTCTGTCCAGTGCAGACCTCAGCGGTGCCAGGCCCTCGCGTCAGAGCCGAGCCTCTTGTCTCCGAGCCTGTTTCCCGCGCTGGTGTTTGGTGTTTGGTGTCTGTTGTCTGTCGTCTTGTGTCCCCTGTCAGCGTTGTGTGTATCACTGCGCGCAGCCCTGCGTCAACGTTCGGGCCCTTTCGACTCCGCATCGATCCAGCTTCCATCATTCTCGCACTTGATACATTCTCCTCTTGCTCGGATTCCGTCTCGCCGACGCCGTCTGCTCGCCATCTTGCCTGTCTCCCGCCGGGCCACCCCCATCTCCGCTGTCAATCCGCGTCGCGATACCTGCCTGCAGACACCAGTCTTGGTCCATCGCCTACTTCGACATCAACCTCCCCAAGCCGACGCCTGACGTATGTGCATGCGATAGTGCACCGAAGTCGCTCGTCGATATCCACGCCGTGGGTAGCCGGCTTTATATAGCAAGGAGATGATGGCAACTAGCATGGGCCCAAACTTCACAGGGCATCCCGCTGCGATGGGACATCCTGGTGTCGCCGGTCACCCCATGGGACCTGGCATGCCTCCCAACTCTGCACAAGGTGCACCGGGTGGTGGAATGCCTCAGCAGTTCGCCGGGGCTCACATGGCCGTAGGCCCAGGAGGACAAGTAAATCCTGCCTTGATGGGTGCCATGCCACAAGGTGCCAATCCTCATGCTCATGCAATACAGCACTTGACTCCCGCTCAACAGCAAATGTTCCACCAGCAGCAGCAACAGCAGCTGCAGAATCAATGTAAGTCGAGTCTTTCCGCTATGTCCCTTGGAACTGTTCCAATGGTCTGACTCTACCATTTTTGTGCCTCTAGTCAACAACCCCAGCGCGATGGCTGCTATGCGCCAGCAACAAATTCTCCAACATCAGCAGCAACAGGCGAGGCAGGCATTCATGGCCCAGCAGGCTATTCAAGCCAACATGCCAGTCGGCGTCAATGGGATGCCCATGGGGATGCAACTAGGCCAACTCAATCCGCAACAGCTTCAACAGCTTCGGCAATCCGGAAGAATGGGACCTGTAGGGGAACTGCCATCATACTTTATTGACGTATTAGCACGGTTAGACTAACTCTCTTGCTGTAGGGTCAGCATCCCCAAGCCCAAGCCCTCATGGCTCATCACATGGCGCTTCAGCAGCAGCAACAACAACAGCAACAACAACAGCAGCAGCAACAACAGCAACAGCAACAGCAACAGCAGCAGCAACAACAGCAGCAGCAACAGCAGCAGCAACAACAACAGCAGCAACAGCAAGCCGCCCAGGGCCAGCAAATGCCTGGAAATGCAGGGCAACCAATGGGAATGAATGCTCAGGGCTTAGCCAATGTACAACAGCAACAAGCTCAAATGGGTGCTGCTGGACAGAGCCAGATGGGCCAGCCGCAACAAACCGGGCAACCAGGTCAAGGACAACCGCAACCACAGCAGCAGCAGCAGCAGCAGCCGCAACCTCAATCCCAACCTCAACCTCAGTCTCAACCTCCGCAGCCACAACCACAACAGTCTAGCCAACCACAATCCCAACATACTCCACAACAAGGCTCCCAAGCTGGCACTCCGGCACCCAGTGGCCAACACACACCAGCTCAGACACCAGCGCCGCCTACACCATCACAACCGACTCCACAACAGCTACAAAACCCGCAGCAGCAGCAGCAGCAGCAGCAGCAACCACAAAATCAGTCTCAACAGCCTGGCCAACCACAACCTCAGCAGGGTGCTGGTCCAGCGCAGCCACAGATGAATGCTGCCACGGCAGCCGCTGCGCAACACATGGCTTTATCGAACAACCTTTTCCATCAGCAGCAGCGAAGAGAGAATTTGAAGGGCCAGTGCTTATTGAAGTTGATGCAGTTCTCTGAACATTTGAGCGGGTTTCCTGTAAGTCGGGCACGCATCATTATGATCGCTATCTCGTATCCAATATCAACGGGGAACTAATGATGACAGCAGGGACCGAGGGCAAAGGACGACCTGACGTACTGGAATGGCTTTGTTTCAAGATTCTTCTCCAATAATGGCGTCCTTCGTCATTCAGTATTGATAAATGACGCCGATGAATCAACCGACAAGCAGTATGAGATAGCTTTTCCGGCCATTGCCCGATACTTTCACACGCATTTTAGCAGCGGCGTCAGGAGCATGCAGTTGATCATGGACAAGGGGCTCACCGATCGCCCTTTACCTGGCGACGGTCACTGCATCGAGAACCAAAGAGCTAGCCTGGTCTACTGGTTTGAAGCCGGTTCACATGTAAGTCATTGTGCTGCAAGACTAGATCCGAGGATGTACAACTAAGTGAGGACAGCTTGTCGCTACCGGTACACTCCGGGTACAATTCGACAATGAGCAACGCATTGAACTTTTTGAGTTTGTGACCACTGGACATGAGGAATACATCTCAAGAAAGCAGGTCATAGAAGCCGCCAAACCCGCTCACATGTGGATCAAAGATTGGCACAAGGTCAACTCGCAGGATGGCAAAACTTCTCCAGAGATGTCGAAGAAGAGCAAGGCGAAGCAGCTCAAGTCACCTCAGACCCAGCCACCTGAAGTCCTTGTGGATCTCCCTGACTCTGCTGTCAACAGCAAAGGTGTAACTGAGGCGGTACATCAGTTCCTCGAGGTAAGTCACGTACCGTGATACCATTCTTCTAGGCCCTTTTAGTCCTGATGGCTAATTGAGAATGTGTAAAGATTGTCGAAGTCATGGGTCAAATGAACCCGCTCTTTGGATTCTGCCAGGGAAACCCCGGTGTTGGTCCCTATGCTGCACTAGAGCAGTACGTTGGAACCTACATCAATGGAAATGCTCAGGCGGTCAATGGTCAGCCGATACCCCAAGGCGGTCCTAGAACACCTAGCTTTGGCCAATTCCCTATGGGAGCAAGCCCAGCAGCAGCACACATGAATCTCCCTGGATCACCACATATTGGCAGCCCAGCTACTGGACAAATGCAAGCTCCAGGGATGCAGCTGCAACCTAGTCAGCAAGGAACCAGCTCAAGTGGGCCGAGCGCCAATACCTCACCAGCGTCTAACAAACGCAGACGCCCATCCGGTGTTAAAACCGAAGACGACGGCTCTGGAGGGGTAACAACAAGTGGTGCACAGGTCAACGGCGTAGGCAGAGGGAAGCCGCCTACTCCTCGGATGCCGAAGCGCGTCAAGGGAAATCCTTCATAAGATTTACCCTGTGTTGACTTTGACAGCTTGCTGGAAGGTCACGCATATACTTCATGCTCTTTTACGTTTTCATGCAGCATGGTGGCGTCTGTTTCGGTACTCGGTTGATTCTTGGCCGGCAAATTTGTTTACAGGTTTAGGAGAGTCGATGGGATAAGACCAGCATACACTTGCTTTTTTGATTTGATTTGATTTTTTCTGATTTCAAACCCCTTGCAGTTTTTTTTAGTTTTTTTCTAGTGTCTGGGGCTAGGCGCTTATCTTTCCAACCTCGAGACGGTCAGCGCCATTGTCCACGTAGCTTGCTCGACTGATACCCAGCGAGAAGTAGTGCTATGTAGCACACGCAGCTTTTGTCGAGTCCAAGTTTTACGAGGCAGGGAAGGGAAGCATGTGTGTAGGAGTGGCCACATGACATGATGAGTGTTGGATCTGGGTTGTTTCTATTATATTTCAATGTCGCGAGTTGTTTCGTTGGAAATTGGTGTCTGGTGTTTGGCAGACTTGTACAGAGGATTCAGTCACCAACAGAGAAGAGAGAACGGTGTGACACTCGACGAAGACGAAAAAAGGCGGCTGCGCATTTGGTCTAAACAAAGGTCGCCTGTATGGAGAGAGCGGGGGGGCTAATTGGGGTAATGGAGTCGTTGTTGCAATTCATTCTGTACGATATAAAACCACTTCAGCCAGGTAGCTCATGAAGGGCATGAGCTTGGTGCTATTCGGTTTCTAGCCATTATTCCTGTGCTTATAATCATAAACTATGTTTTGGCGTACACTTCAGCTCATATTCCCCAGTGGCCGCAACGTAGCCCTCAAGGCCGGGCTGCTCATATATAATATAGTATCTAGACATCTGCGTTGAGCAACGGCGCGGCGTCACCGTCTCCGACATGGCCACCACTCGAGCTCGAGGGAGCACTCGGCCCTGCTCCAGGCTCGTCGTCCATACACACGGTCAAGAAGACGCCCTGCCCGCCAGCCAGGCTCGTCTGCAAAACACCCTTCCGCTCCGCGTCTGCGGCATCCTCGTCGGCCCCCGCGTCCCTCTGCAGCTCCAAGACGCGCACCACTTCGTCGTTCAGGACCGGCCCAAGCTCAGCGGCAATCACCGGTGCCGCCGACCCCGGTGCCGCGACGACGATCCTGGCGTGCCGCCACCCCTGCGCCAGGTTCTGAAGCTCCGCCAGACGGGCAATGTCGTCCCTCAGCCGCGATCCCGTCGGTACCCCGGGGTACGTCGCGTCCGCCGCGCGGCACCACAGGCTGCGCGGGGCTTCACGCCCCGGCCCGTGGCCGTAGAAGATAATTCTGACGCGTAAACCGGGGCGCTGGCTCTCAGGCAGGGCGGCGGCACTTACCATGGGTGGTGCGGTGTATACCTGGATGACGGGCGGCGTCGCGTACACCACGGCCGGGGCCGGCACCGGCTGCACCACCGTCGTGTAGTACGCGGGTACGACTGCGGTAGCTGGCGCCCAGACGACCGGTTGGACGCACGTTGTCGGTTGGACGGCGAAGACGGGGGGCTGGAAATAGAACGACATTCTTGTTTTGCTGAAGATGGTGCTAGGTAAATAATGGTTGACTTGGAGAAAGGTCGCGGTGGCAGCTGAGCAGGGCGAACAGATGCAAACGGTGAAGAGTGTGCACAAATCTTGTCATGTTTTGGTCAAGAAATGTTTACCGTATATATATATATGTGTGTGTGTGTGTGTGTGTGTGTGTATGAGTGTGTGTGTGAGAGAGAGAGAGAGAGAGAGAGAGAGAGAGAGAGAGAGCGAGAGGGTGTACGCAATACAACTCGATTGCGGTGATACACTATCGGCTTTCATAGACTCATCATCACCCTCGCCCGACGTTGCAAACGCATCACTGAAAAGAAAACTGCGGCCTCGCAAATATCTCTACGGCGGCTGGGACATGAATCACTACTGATGCGCAGCGCACGCAAAGGGTACCATGGTAGTACAAGAGCCAAACGATTTATTGAATGCCTACTCCGTAGTGTGAATAAATCCTTGCGCCGCTTCCACATGGTGGTATTATGCAATGTATACTCTGATACACCTCGCTCGCGATCCAGAGTCCAGACCAAGTAAACTAAATAAACACAAAATAAGTCGGTGGCATCAAGCCAAGTCCCTTGCCATGTCTTTCAAGACCCGCCAGTTCATCTATTCATTCGTCAATGCCCAGACTAATACATTTCCTCGTCATCTGTTCTTCCAATACCAATCGTCATTGGAGTAGAGTAACATGTTCCGAGCCATGCCAGGTTTTGTTCATAAGTACCTTTCCATGTTTTATTATTGCCCATATTTAATCCCATTCGCATGGGATTGTGTTGTGTTATATTTCTGATCCTCCAAAAGATGCACGCTGGTCGCTTCAGTATGGACGAGGAAATTGTGTGATCCATCGCTAAAGACTCTCGGGGGTTGGGTTCTCGTGTTTTGCTGTGCTTCCCTTTCCGCGCCAGGTGCTCACAGCAGGTATATTTGCCTCATACCGGACCTCTTCAGTTCCATAAGCTCTTGGGGTCAGCTTAATCAGTGTATGCAGCGGCACATTCATCCACGGGCTCTTAGCCTGGTCCTTCTTCATGAAATACGCGTAAATGCATCGGAGGACAGCTTGGTGAGTGACGATGAGAATATCCTCACTTCTTTCCAGCTCCATGATTATTGGCTCTAGGCGAATGACAACATCACGGTAGGATTCCCCACCACGGTATCTGTAATTATACTTGTCTTCGTCGCGCGCAGCAAAATCTTCAGGGAACCGGTCCTTTATTTCTTGGTAGGTCAGCCCATCACAAACACCCGAGTCCAATTCATCCAGAGCTTTCCACTGCAGCTGGTTGTAGTGAAGTGGAAGAAAGCGCGCGGTAGCAATAGTTCGTTTTAGCGTCGATGTCCAAACCGTTAAAGGTCGATCGTCCTTGGAATATTTGTGAGACTGTAGCACAACACAATGGCTCAGAGTGATCATTCATTAAACGCTTACCCCGACAGATTCCCGCACCAACTCAGGAAGTTTCCTGGCATATTGCTCGCCCCGCGGTGACAATAAGGTATCCCCGCCAATCCTTCCGTCCAGGTTATACATGGATTCGCCGTGCTAAAAAAAGGGAAAACAAACAAGAAAGTGTCAGTTGGACTCGGAAGAGGAAATCATGGGGCGGTTTGTTGTTTGGTCAACAGGGCCCACCTACCCGGGACAGCCAGACTGAACGAGGACGAATATGTAGATTCATGAGGTAGTAGACAATTCTACTCTGAAGATAGTCTTGAATGCGATTGATGATGACTTGCTTTCCGATATTCATGATTTTGAGGTACGTGTACTCGTCTTCATCACCGTCCTGGTCAATGGTCTTATAACTCTTCTCATAATTGCTTATGCGATTGAGAAAGTCCTGTGCGGCAGCTTCGGGGTCTTGGCCGCGATAGTCCGGACTGGTGGTTTTCACATCGCGAATGTTAGCCATGATGATTTCCTGGTCGTCACATTTACTTTCAACGAATAGAACTTCGATGCCGTGCTGGGCGCAGACATCGCTGACCCATTTTCGACGCTCCTTGGTAGAATTGGTAGCATCTAGTATCGCAACAACGCCGCCGGTGCGGAACCAAGCCAGCATGTCAGCTACGGCAGCTTCCGCGGCTGCACGGCGCTTCCGCTCACCCTCGGCGTTGTTGGTGTCAAAGAAGTCAGCGGTGGGTTGTGGCGCATCGTTGCGCCGATAATTGCCGACATTGAACGTCTGTGCCGGTATGGACAGCCATTGCAAGTACCGTTGAGCTAGGGGACCGAGTTAGCTGGCAGAATTGCATTGGAACCATCATTACCATCTTTATTCTGGACACGCAAAGGACAGAGACAGAGGATGATATCGGGGCCGAATTTGAGATACATGGCACCCGGCCCGGCCATGAGGAAAGGCCATGTCTGCATGCAACTTTAAAGCTTACCAATTTGTGCAATATAGCTTTTGCCCCGAGCTGGGAGTCCAACCATGACCACACATATTTTTGTGTCTTCAACCTGGACCCCAACACCATTGTCAGTTCTGGACGGCATGGTAACAGCGATTTAACATCAAATGTGGCGCCAGCGCACGACGGAGGTCAACGAAACGAATATCCAGGCATCCGGTAGTGGTGAAAACCGTCCAGCGCAAACAAGCCCAGTTACGATGATGACAAGGGCGCCTCACTGGGTGGGTTTGGCCTCGTCCTTGGTCTCGGCAAAGCTGGAATTCCACAAGAGAAGGGAGTAAGGGAGTATGAAAAAAAAAGGTGAAGGGGAAAGGCGAAAGGCGAAAGGAGATGGAGGAGTGAGCGAGTTGAATTGTGTCAAGTTGGGTTGATCTTGGGGCGTGAAAGTCAATGTCGGGACAGTCCCCGTTTTGTAACGACACGAGAGTGACGAAGTAAGTACGGAGCACCAGGTTGGTCGGTGATCGCGTGAGGCACTGAAATTTTCGAGGCTGCGGGGAGGGGCATTCGGGGCAATTCAGAGGCCAAGAGCGAGCCAGTCGAGTAGCTGGGTACCTGCCTAGGTGTGCCTAGGTACCTACGTGGTAGGTATAGAGAGCTGGGATCGAACTACTCGCCAGGCAAGAGCATCAGGCGGGCACGACATGCCGGGCACGGCAGCGCCCTGAAGCGCGGGGAAGGAGCGCCGAAGCGGTCGTGCGGCCAGGTAGGCGGTGGTACAGCTGCCTAGGCAAAACTGCCCACTTGACCACTTGACCACTTGAGCGTGGCCAGTGGCCACAAAGTGCCCCCAGTGGCTGCCACTAGGAGCCGAGGGCCAAGGCGCAATCCACTTGAGCGGTGCGGCGCTGGCGGGGACGTGGAGATGTGGCATCTCTGGTCAAGTACGGAGTAGTGGCCAAGGCGTCTGTCTGTCTGCCTGCCCCCCTCTGCGCCGTCGTCGAGGTTTGCCATCATGCTACTCCGTAGATGTACCCCAGATAGCGAGCCTTTCAATGTCGAGGCCGAATGTCCAAACCAGACACTTGTAGCAGCCACTGAGCACCGGAATGGCCGTTGCAGCCGAGACAGACAGCCAAGGCAAGTCTGGCCAGGCCTGGCTTGATGAGAGACGAGGCTGAGAATAACGAGTCAAGCGAGAATGCCCCAAATGAGACTCGAGAACCTGCACACCTCTGTCCCCGAGGGAATCATGCATTCCTATCCCAAGTATTCTCTTTCTTCCAAAAAAAAAAAAAAAAGGGCAATGCAAAATGCCATCTGCGGCCCGTCGCGCTCAACGGCCCATCCAGCAATGTGAACACCCCGACTATACGCAATTTTGTTCGAGTTGAGACCTCTTGAGGTCCGGGAGGAAATAAGGGCCGGCACCCCACAGCCGATTTGCGTTCTTCCGCCTCGCTTTCCCTGTTTCTAGTGACGGACAGCACATTGGCCCTCGTACAAGAGCCGTTCCCTCTCGTCCTCGCCCAGTAGATATTGTCGACTGAGCCGAGGGATACCATGGTGGTGTTTCTGGCCGCTTGGTGGGGTGGTTTGGTGGCTGGTAAAGCATGGCACTCCAAACCTATGTCAGGCACCGCGAGTCGACCGACATACCGCAACACCTCAGCTTTGCCTTCTCCACTCATGCTTGCCGTCAGCCCGAGTCGTCCCGGTACCCCATCATGACCCAAGCTGGGGAGCAAAATAGGGTATCTAAACAAGGACTTCTGCGGAATTCCAGGCGCATAGGATGTCGGTGAGGCCATGCTAATCCCTGGCTTGGAGTACACCTTCTTATACCTGCTGTTGAATGCAAAGAACCGGGTCAGACGTGACGTTGGTCTGGCCACGGAGCCGGGCCCTGTCGTCCGTTCGATCAAGCCGCCTCCCTCCGGTTGGCTAGGGGGAAAGGCTTCCCATTCGACTGATCCTTGCTGCAGGAACCAGGCGAGGCCAACACCATCAATGTACAAGAACCAACCAGGGGATCTGGCTCCGGGACTGTCCGAACAGGTGTGATATGTACATATGTATGTACTCCGCCTTTGGCTTTGCTCCAGGTTCATCCCATTACCACTCAGCTCGGGAGAAACTCCCAGTCACCATGGTTTCAAACGCGCTTCGATTCAGGTCTTATGGCACATGTTCGGAATCGATGCTTGGATTGTTGGCTGATAGACGGTACCGTTTCGTTTTGCCAATACGAGCCGCTCAATTCTAGAGTAAAGAATGAAGGCGGCAAGCAAGTTGGGTGCGAGTGGTACCTTGACCACCAACAGGCTAAGCAAAACCGCTGTTAAGCTGCTGAAACCGGCGGACAGCGTAGCCTGAATGCTTTGCTCACCGCCGATGGAGGCTATGCAGCAGCTATGCAGCTAGGGACTGGAGCGGCAGTACTCCGTGCCTCACTCGAGAATGCCTTCATACAAGTGGTGGTCCATGACACCTGTAGGAACCCGCAGTGCATCGACATCGAGGGCATGCGATGAAACGGCGCTTGCCGTGGCAGGAAATTGATGACATGGAAAGAAAATTGACCCAATATACAAGACGGTCACACACTTACCTTGCTAAAGTTCCACGTGTTGGCGCGAGCCCGACCAGAGGGTGAAGCCTTTGGCGACGGCGGTCCTGCCGCAACACCCCTCATGGTTGCGATTGAGACGTCGGTGACTCGAGGAGCTTGGTGAGGTCGGGCTGTCGACTGACTGCTTGCCGAGCTGAGTCTGGGTTATTGTTGATGGTTTGCTGCTCTGGCGAAGGATGGTTACGATTGAGACCCCAGTGCGCGCAGACGCAAGTAATGAAGCTTGAGTGTGCGTGTGCACAATCCGTGTTGATAATATTGTCTTGGCTGGGTTTTCCCTCGACCTGGTCTCCTCAGCCGTTGATTGAATGCGCCATCGGCCATCGGCCAGCCAAGCCTTTGGCGAGGGTGGGGCTTTACTATCTTTGGTTGATCGCCAGCCGATAAGCAGCGGGCCGAAGCAGGGTAACCTGCGAATCTCCCTGCGCCACCGGATCTCACGGTTGTGTTCACAGTTGCCGCCGTCTGTGCCAAGTAAAACTGGCGATGCAGCTGCGCGACGAGTTTCGACAGAACAAACCGTGCCATAAATTTTTGAGCCAGCACCCAGCATTTGCCAATTTTCTATACCTAACGGTCTTCTTGTCATTTGCACTTGATATGGGTACAAAATGGTTATACGTTCTGACTGAAAAGGAACGCAGTTGGTGACATGTAGGGTCAATATCTCCCGCAGGCCTGGGACCAGACTCGAATTAGACATCTTCACGACCCCGTCAACCCAAACAGCACCCATACAAGCTCAACCCCCACGTCCATATCAAGCCCTGCGGTAGAAGCGCATTTGTGCTCCTCCAATGTCGAATACGGCCACGACATTTTGCAGAAACACGTCCCCCAAGATGTACGGCCCCGACCCGCCACTGGTGATAGCAACGGCACAGTAGCCGGTCATAGGATCGACCAGGTCGCGGTAGATCATGTCCGCAGGGTTCAGCCAAAACTCAATCCCTGATATTACAACGGCAAACCTTGGAGGCACTGCATCACACGGAGCAAAGTAAGAGCCCCATTGATACAAGTACACTGCACGAGGCAGGAAAGCATTGGCGACAGCCTCGGCCAAGGCTATTCGAAATTCGTCAGCATATTTAGCCATATCTTTGCAATTGAGGACATTTCTGGTGAAGTGTGGTAGACTTACGAGGCGGAAGATAGTTCATTGTCGTCCCCGTATCCACAATGTATGGGAATTTACTCTTATCCATCCTTTGGCCCCAGATTATACCATCAGGTATAATAGTGTAGAAAGAGTATCTCCAGGATGTTTCCGCTGATCCAACGAGATTTGCCTAATATTAACCTTTGTTAGCACCTCTGGATGAGGTTGTCTTAACCACCAATCTTGGTATGTACACCCCCAGGCGGGCACCACTTACAATGATTAGGTCAGTCTCGGCGTAGACATCACTCGCTCTCTGGACTCGCGGCAAGCCACCCCAGGCAATAATTCCATCCGAAGAGTTCTTAGCCAGGGCAACACTGAAAACCGGATCTATGCTTCCTTGCATGATAGCATTTGTCAGGAAAGGTACATATTGGATGGCATTCCAGGCAGCTTCTTGTCCAATCTCCCCATAGAAAGCACTTGTAATGGATGGGTATGCAAGACCCAAGATGCCGACCGTAAGGTTATTACCGTGCCAATAGGTATAGTTAGCGAGCCCAGCTTGTTGTCTCGGGACAGAAACACCTCCACAAGAGATATCAGCGTAACCCATAGGGCCGAAGACTTTCTCGCCAGAGCCATATTTCAAATAGAAGTGAAGACCATCAATGGGACCGTTTTGAAATTTCTTTACATGGGGGTTCCCAAAAGCACATGCGGCCTGATTATGTTTCGTACCATGAGAGTCATGGCATTCGAAACCGGTTTGAACTGCCCATGTGTCCGCGCTTCCTGTGTCGAGAAGCAACCACACTGGAGCACCGTCCCATCCGCATTGAATGGCGTATTGGGTCGATAAGTTTCCGGTGGTGCTGATGTTTTGATATGTATGCTGGCCGTGTGAAGGGGGTGTTTGCAAAATTTGCACGAGGCTTGAAACCGCATTTTGATTGCTTGATGAGCCCTTGATGCTGGTAATCCTGGAATAAAGCAGAGCCGGCTTGTCGATTGTAGGAGCAGCAGATCTCGCCTTGGCTAGCTGGAAGGTAAACCCATTCAATGGTTTAGACAAGTCCCATTCGGAGGTACTTGGTGGCTGTACTGGGACATTTGGTGCTGTCACAGCAAGTCTGGCCCCGGCAATATAAAGAAAGAATCTGACCAGCACCATGATGGCGGCTGGCTATATCGATGGGAAGCAGGGGATGTGTCTGGGATAGTCAAAGAACAAGGTACTTCTTTATTTAGTGGACAAGATAGTGGCCAAAGAAGCACCCGATATCTGGATGGAGACAAAGAAGACTTAAGTACAAATGAACACAGAATCGGAGTGATGAAGGATGGGGAATGACAATTGACAACTGAGCTTCATTGACAGCTGCAACATTGAATGCTCTGCCGCATGATAGTGGTCAGATATGAGCAAGTCGTAAAACCTCCAGCAGGCGGGACACAGTAGTCTGAAGAGCCAAGGCTGCTGGTTTGCGCCTTCCGTTTCTAACGCCGTCTGCGAGCTCGAAACAACCTTCGAAGTTTGCTGAACGAGAGGAGAGAATCCTAGACAATTCTTCTACCGAAGCATGGCCCCAATTTTTTGGGCTCCAAAATTGTAGGAAAGCTCTCGTTTGATGCGGTATTGCTTCCCTTTCTGACACGGCGTGGTTCATGTCGTTACGCAAGTCTTCATGGCTGATACATATCTAGCCATCTGTACGCACAAGACCTCAAACAATCTCGGGAGGCAAGCGAAGGATAGTTCCTTGGAACTATAGTCTCCAGAGTTACTCTACTCAAATTCCCGATGCCGCTCCATACGAAGTGACGGGAAAAGAATGATGATTATTGTTTGGAGGCTATTTTCGCCCAGGAAACAAAGTTGGTCGCCTGCGTCATTGGTAACTACCTAGGCGCAGAACCAGGACATGGCGATGAAATACAAGTACGTACCATGTATACTATACTCTTATCAGACATCTGAAGCTTCGATTACTTGTATATAGCCTTGCACTTGGTAGACACAAGACCGAGCGGAAACCAATTGCGAGCTACAATTTAGTTGCATGGGGCTACAAACTGGCATGACATCCAACGTCCCATGTATCCAGGTTGATACCACTAGACAAGCCAAGGTGCCACGTAACACGGCAGTTTGGCCTGCATATCCGTGCTGCATCATGAACACCGACTTGTGGTTTTACAAGATGTCGGTAAACAAAACGACAATCTCGGCTCTGTGCCATCATTCAACAACAGGAGGGCCTACAAGCTCGTATACGGAAATTTGTGCCATGGGCACTGTTTGCCCTTCATCCTTGACAAAGGCCCGGTCTGATGGGCGATGGGCGCATGTGGTCGGGTTCAACGGCATAGATGCAATGTCTAAACATGTCATAACGGTGTGCCGATTCCCAGCACCTCTGCGTAACCACAGACTGCAAATCCAACCTCAGGGGAAGCTGTCTACCTAGTACCTATTCTGTACTTATTAGGTAGGTAGTCAGTTATGCGCTACCACACCTGTCAGTCACTCTTATCTGTGCCTTTGGGCATGAGCCACATGGCTGACAGGGACCGAAATGCCACAGCTTGGCTCCAGAGGTCATCGAAAACCAAACCCAGCAACCAAATTCCTTGGGCGTGCGCATTCTTCCCCACACTCCAATGATAAACGGTAGCGCGGGGAAACGCTGCTACCCCAAAATGCCGACTGAAGAAATCGCCTGGAGCTCTCGCCCACTGAGCTTCCAGGACGGAACTCCGGAGCCTCGGCCCGCCGCTATGACGAAGAATCACAAGGACTTGATCTGATCCTAGCTGTAATAATCATTGACTAGTCCGCAACTTGACCCCTTTCTCTCTCTCTCCGTGAATGTCATGATAACGGGCAGTGTTCCCATCAGCCGTACACCGCTCAACGCTCTGCTTCATAACAATACCATCATCATATATGGACAGCAACCCAAAAGAATAACCTGATTCACGACAAGAAAAGTGGATGAGCAGAAAATGTCACTAAATCCAAAGCCTGGCGCCTCTTCTAAAGCCGCCGACCAAGAAGCCCTGTCATGGATGCAGAACCTCAGCCCAGCCGTTTCGTACTACGACCCTCATCATGAATCACCAACTTCGGGAAAGGAGCCTCAACTCATTCTCATCCTATCATGGATGGGCGCACGACAAGTCCATATATCGAAATATGCACTACAATATAGGAGAATCTACCCATCATCACGAATCCTCATCGCGCAATGTCCCCTCACTCATGTCGTGTTCCCTTGGCGCACACGACGCGACCTCTCTCCCGCCCTGCCCTACCTTCGCAACATGTCGGAGCGCCAACAAAAAGCAGACGAAGCCGGTGATACGTCACCAAAGATGCTTATCCAAATGTTCTCAAACGGCGGCATCCACACAGCCAGTTGTCTCCGCAGCATGCTCCGCGGCGGACAACCACACGGCACACCAGTTTTACCACGATATGTGCTAGTGTTCGACTCTTGTCCGGGGTATTTTCGGTGGATGAGCTCCTACAACGCCCTGATGCAAATGCTTCCGTGGTGGACTGGTCCCGTCGTGCACTCCATCATCGCCATGGTCTGCTTGTACCACTTCCTCCGCCGACTTCCGGCTATTCAAAATCGAAATGCCCGAGCGCTCAGATCTCCAGGACTATTAGCAAGAGAAGAGAGGCGGACATATCTATATGGAACAGAAGACGACTTGATCCTGTGGCAGGATGTGGAAGATAATGCCCGAAAGGCCAAGGAGGCTGGCTTTACTATCAGACTGGAAAAGTTTGTGGGTGCCAAACACGTGGACATCATGAGGGCAGAGCCAGAGCGCTACTGGAAAGCCATACAAAATTCATGGTCGGACGGGCCACCAACGGGATATCAACAACCACCATCGAGCGGCTCGTAATTACAACCTGTCGCAGTACAACTTTGTCGAAGTTCTGGTTGGGGTTGTCGGAGAATAGAGGCTGTTAAGACGGCATACCGTGGCAGGAGCAGTGTATGCATGTAACTCACGTTCATATGATTTGAAACTAGGCTCCCTACTATTGTCGTTCATGGGAAATGGCCAAGGTTTCTCATTTGAGTTGGGGCTTTAAATGTCGGCCCATCACTTCTCTCCAGCCCTTTTTGCCACGGATCACGTTATGTCTTATCCGAATACAATATGCTCACTTCCTTCACCATACTGTGATTATTAGATTTCCGACACTGCGAGTTTATTCCTCCATATCTACCTATTCCAGTAAAACACAAAAAAGGGACAATTATTCCGAGGTGGCCCATTAAAACCGTGTTCTCACTAAGCGCCAACGCCTGTAAACAGTTTTCCACTCGGCTAACCGCCAACTCCGTCGCCATGCCTAGACAAGCCATCATGAAATGATTAATAACCAACAATCCTGTGCCGTTGGCCGAATATAAAAAACCGCTCTTGGGAAAAAAAAAGGAGGCTTGGTTTTGCCAAAAAAAAAAAAAAATCGCATCGATGGGGACTTGATAAACGAAGAGATAAATAATGTACCAATAAAAAAAATAAACAAAAAGAGGAGAAGACAAAGCGGCATAGATACGTGGACACGTAACTTCGTAAGGGTGCACTCATGATTGCCCATGATGAAATGCTTGACAACCGGATTGCTCCCGGCCCTGCTTTCGCATTTCCTGGGTCTGAGCCCTGGATGTACGATCATATGATCGGAATTGCACCTCAAACCTTTTGCTTCTTGCGATGACTTTTTACGTCGGTTTCAGCGGCCCGTTTCTCGGAAGTCATGAAGGTGTCATCGCTGATGTCACCTATGCCTTCGTCCTCTTCGGTGCATCGATCACATTCCTGATCGAATGGGTGTTGCTCGGCATAGATGCCTGGATCACATTGGCCAAAGCATCCTGCGTTTTTGGCTTGTAAACAGGCCAGTTGCTGGCCTAGATCATCCCACGTCTGTGACTCGCCGCACCTCGTGCAGGTACCTGCGAAGACCAAAAGACGACACATCACCAGTCGAGTTTAGTATGAGTGATAAGGCGCGAGAGGCCAAGCTGTCAATGATTCTTGGTCGAGAACTGTTGAGCGTTTTGAGATGCAGTTTGTGGTGATCTGTAGCGTTTCTGAATTCCAAGTCGTGCCGGTCCCTGAGGTTTGGTGACGATTGCCGCGTCGGTCTCGGAATACAAGGGTGGTGGTGTATTGGCGTGTGAATGGGAAATACGGCTCAGCACGCCTGAGAGGTAGTGCTTTGGTGCTGCTTGGTGGGAAGGTGAGCGACCGAAGATACGGAAAGGTCAGAACGAGACAGCCGAGGGCGAAGTTTATCGAAATAGCGCACAAGCTATGTGGTAAACACTCGCGTTAGCAGCCCGTTAACTGGTCTGGTGTTGGCCAGGACAAGAAGTACAGGGCGAATGCGTCCGCTGTGCGGTAGGAAGACCCGTTATCTGCATCCACCAAGGACAAAATGACGGCCAAGTCCCAATTCTGGTCAACAATAAACAGGCAGAGCGCCCCTTGCGAAGAACTACAGACGCGCATGTGCGGAATGCTTGCATATGCGTTGCACAGAAATGGCGAAAATAGGTCGGGGGAAGTATGGGATGTGGTCATGATGCAACTGGGATTCACAGGACTTACGCTCGCAGCTGACGCAATAGAACCTTTTCGCTGTCCCGACACTGGGCGCAATGGCTCGTGGGTTCGCCAAGGTGAGCTTGGTGATGGGTGATTGATCTGACGGGTTCTTGTCCCTGGTCAACCCGGTCTAGTCGTCCAGCCGGCCGTCTGCAATGCGGTTGATGGGACAAGGGCAAATCCAAATCGGTCTGTTCGTGTTGTGCCCCTCAACAACGGAGCGTTTCAAGATGGAGTTGCTTAGCCTAGCAGAGGCCACCGAGGATAATTGATAGTCGAGCATGAAAATGCAGGCAGCGTCGATGGAGAGTCTGGTGGTCCAAGTAGTGGCAAGTGGCTAGGATCCAAGGGCAAGGCTCCATACGTTTCGCCGGTTCGAGTCGTACCGGGGATTACAGGAGTGCAAACAAGTGCGTGCGGGCTTGAGAAGTTCGACTTGCAAGTAGCGCTGGCCTTTCTCGGCGAAGAAGCTCTGGTGCGACAGGATCGAACAGTCTAGCTAGTGCTCCAGTCCTTTGCAAAATGCGAATCAGCACTGGCGGGGAAGAAGGAGTTGGAGTTGGACGGCACTCGGTGTGGTGTTGGTGTTGGTGTTGGTGTTGGTGTTTGTGTTTGTGTTGGTGGTGTTGGTGGTGTTGTTGATGTTGTTGATGTTGTTGTAGTTGTAACAAGAAAGAAAGCAAGGAGGAAGCAAGGAAGGGAAGCTGGGCGAGGAGGGCAGGCAAAGCAGACTCGAGGCCATGGAAATGGCGGCAGGACGGGAGCAAGACCAGCAGCAGCAGGAGGAGGAGCAAAGCACTCGAGGACGGCCACCGATGCAGAGGTGTCGCTCAAGATTCGACAATAATAAGTTGACGGCGGCATGGCTTGGCTCTTGGCCAGTAGACGGCCGAGTTCCCCGTACAATACGAATAGTCGACCAGTTGACATCTAGAGGTACTGAGTACGGGAAGAGCGTTGCGAACCAGACATGCTTGCTAGGAACTTGGAACACAGACATGGAGAGGGTGGCGCACAGCTACCTACCTAGGTACTTGACCAATACTCGGGCTAACGTTTTTACCACACCAAGTGCCCTGGTACCGCATTGTATTGGATCAGAGCCTGCGGGTGATGGGCCGCAAACATTCAACGGTGGAAAGACAAGGGGGCGTGAGTTAGTGGCAGCCAGGGGGTTCGATAGAGTGCGTGAGTGGGCGAAGTGGGCGAAGTGGGTGTGCAATACGGAGCACCTATGTTACTAGCGTGCTTGCAATTGTCAACTGGGCGTGCTCGGCCAGTCAACGGCCTGGTGGCAGGTGTGTGTGTGCGCACTGGAGCATGTGGCCATGACCCTTGGACGAGACCTGCTTACGGCTCAGACATGCCTGTACCGGTTGAAACCCTACTCACTCGAAACGGAGGCGCAAAAGGACAGCTGCCAAAGGGCAAAGGGTCAACGTTTGAACTGGGTCTGGTGCAATTGTGCTTGAAGAATCTTGGAAAACTTGGCATCTTTGGACTCTGGGGTACTGTCTGGCCCACCAGAAAGTACCTAGGTACCTTTATAGGTGGTAGGTGGGCGCAAGATTGACAGGTTCCGCTTGAACATGGAATTTTACACGCAGAAAACCTGGCAACACAGGTCCCCTCCCAGGACCCGATGTCAGGAAGGCACGACACGACCGAACCACGTGTGCCATGGCCGGCTTTGGCCAGACAGGGAGCAATTGTCATCTATCACATTTTTCTGCGGCGGTCGATGGCATGGACACTCACATCTACCTCGACCTCGACTATCAACATCAAAACGCAAGTCACTCAATCCCTTGCCTTGCGAAAAAGTGCTCACTGTTCATAACAGAAAAGTGCAGTGCCGTGCCGTGCGTGTCCCTCCGCTTTGCCGTGCCGGCTACTACTAGTACTACATCGATCTCTCCCCAGATCTGGCATCAAGCCCTTCTCTCTTGTCTCCATGTCAAGGTCCACCCTACCGTGGTGCTTGCTGCTTGCTTACTTGTTTGACGTCAAACCGGTCCACGGAGTGGCTACCTAGTACGTACTCCATACCTCTCAAATTTACTGTACCGAGTACAGTTGCCACACCTCGAGCCAGCTGCCGAATTTGGGGAGGCAGAGACAATTCCCACCCTCACGGGAACCTGGCCGCCCAGGACATCCAGCCATGATACGATTTTAATATGTGGAGAGACACCAACCAAGGCTATGTAGGGCTCTGGCCGCCAGATGTCTTACTTGAGAACTGAACCCTCGCCGGCGTCTCGAGACAAACGAAGCCGAGCAGAACATGAAGTACGGAGTTATCCCGTATGGAGTACCAGGTGTTCATGGGTTGATAACAGCACATTGGCACATTGGCAAAACTGCTGAGTAACCAAGGTGCTCTGCATCCTCGCATGGTACTCTGTATACTCGGTCAACTTGCCCCAAGTTCATGCAAGGGAAGAATGTGGTCGAAGGCACTGGCGAAAAGCAGGCTCCCTTCATCCGCCTCGATTGCTTCAACAAGAACGGGTTGGTGCTGCACCTACCATCAGCATCAATATCAACATGTTGGTGATGCTAGGAGCACAAATTATATCGAAGGAGGACCGAACATCAACGCGCTAGGTAACTTCAGACGGTATCGGAGCGACGAAGCTGCTGGGCAAGTCCTCCGAGACTCCAGTTGCTCATTCTCAGGAACCTTCAAGGCTTGATTACCCGGCCGAATGCCCGTGGCTTGGTGCTCCTCCTCAGACGCCATATGCCGCACTTTGCGAGCTATTAGACCCGGCTGTTGGTGGGCTGGCCAGACAGCAGCGCATAAAAGCCCTGCTAATCCCGAGCAAACCAGTATTGAGGAGGCGGCGGTGTTGATCACCCACCAATGGTACAATATCCGGGAGATCAACGCATATACTTCTGCACCATGGAGTAGCTCTTGCCGGTAAGAGCTAGGTCCCCAGCCATGTTGGTGCTGAATGGCTGTGGCCATCCGCCGTCCGCCATCCGCCATCCACGGAGACAGCCGGTCTGGCGATATGTCTCACCCGTTTGGCCCGTGAGCGAAGTGACTTTGAGTAGAAGAGCCGAGTCAATACTTCTCAACGGACACTGTGAGCACCGGCAATACGTTCCGAGCGCCTTATAAGATGTGGTCTTGGAACAACGGTATCTTCTCCCTACTCAGTGCAGCAAAACGCCAAACCAGTCGTCGCCCAACACGAAGTTGGACAACTACGGGAGTCGGAAGTAAAATCATAAACACACACATGCGCACTCGCACATTGTTTTGG